CTCTTGGTATTATGTGTGTTCTCGATAATTAACATTTACAACAAAACAAATTATAAGTCTTAATAAACATGGCTATTCAACAACTCGTTCTAACCAATTGTCTTTGACATTTATTCTTCGTCCATCATCACATACCACGTGTTTCCATAGCAACACTGATGATTTCCTACTTTGCCTTTAGCATGTACCTTCTTTACCATCTGAAAAGTAATTCGAAAATTTTTTAGTCCAGCCTTTACTCTTTTCTATGTCCGGTTCCTTAAAATGAAGTCTCTATCTAAGTGCCAAGCAGTCAGCACGTCTGTGTTGACATGAATTATCATTGATTAATTGTCATAATTACAAATTAATTGTTTACCTAACTTTGAATTTTTCGACATACTAAGGATTTTCTACCGTAGGAATAGATTACTTTAGCTGTAGTTGGCTAAATCTTGGGAGTTTTGGATCCTCAATGTTCTTCTATTTCATACTTTATTTGGCCTTTTTAACTTTTTTTTATTTGAGCGTCACTGATGAGTCGTTTGTAGACGAAACGCACATTTGGCAGAGACAATTTTTAATCCTGATATCTATGATGAGTTCATTTCTCTCATTTAATTTAGTTTTGATTGAATTTACAACTGAAAAGACAGTAGAATACCAGATTTAACCAACAGGATAAGACGCATGCTGTATATGTCCAATATTTAGTAAGCAGCGATGTTTAACTCATCCTTATGTTGTTGCGTAGGTAATTGTTAACGAACACTGTATTTTTTTGTTTGTCTTGGTTGAGAGGTTCACCACTAATTCCACATTTTATAATGAAAAACACATCAGCGTTTTAACATTTATTCTATCATTTATAATACATCATACATACAGTTCACATATTCCAGTTCAATTCTAACAGTTGCCCAAATCATATTTTCCATTCTTATTTATAGGGACAAATAAAGCATAAAGCACGAGATATTAGTGAATATAAAGTTTTCTATAACAATTAACGGAGATACTCAAATATAAATAACGGAGAAATATATTACAATTAAAGGAGCTAATTAAAGGAGACAAAATTTACGATAAAAGGAGCATGTTTCATGGAAAACAAAAATGTCAAAGGAGAAATATGTTTAAACAATAATAATGGTAATCGCAATTCGCGACATATGTTGTCTTCGGGATTTCAGATTTCAAAACATTTCTGTCATGTTTGCTTTAGTTTTCGATTAGTTTTAACGCGGGATCTACCATTCTACAGATACATTAGTTAATACCAGAATCATGTACAACAATCTCCTGGTTTATCAATAGCATGATGCCATTATTATTTTTTTAATCATATAATGTGAAAATATTTAAGTTTCTCTGTTTGATTTTTTGGTAAAAGAACAGAGCACAGTATCATTGCTTGATCCTATGATGTGTTTATGGGATCAATTCTAAAGTTGTTCTCGCTTATAGGTTTGGAAAGTTTACTTATTAAAATCATTTAGACGATTAGATCAGAAGATGCTTCTGAACAGAACGTCCTCGACAATTCAGCAAAGGTAATTAGGCTCTGATATTTAGACAAATTTTCTTGAATGGTTTAATACCATAGTAAAAATTTACCTCCATGCCTCCATTAAATTGATTAGTATCCAGAAGAGGTATCCAAGCTGAAGGTGTCAACACTTTGTACGAGTCATTGTCAAAGTAAGCACTATCTGAATAGGTAAGAAAATACTTAAATTTTACTAGAATCATATAAATAAATAGTTATAGGTTTTCGATTTTTGTTTGTTTTATGATGTGAACGTTAACGTGCTCGCACTGTATTGGGTGTACGCTTAAGTAGCTTGAATGAATTACCAACCAGGATGAGATTAGTCATCGATATGGTAAGCATCAACAGAAATAAATTAATCGCATATCATGTTACATCTTATTTTGTAAAATTATATTTTCCGAAATCGTCTCGGTTGACTCGTGATAGCGTGTTCTCCTCCAGTGTAGCATGTCGTGGGTTAGATCCCTGGCCTGTTCAAACCAAATACTTAGTAATATGTATTTGCTGCTTCCTCGCTAAGATCGCGGCATTTAACAGCAAGAACTTCATCATCATCATACTAACAGAAGAATTAAGTTTTCTTTAATAACAATATTCAAAACCAATTGTTCTTAAATCTTGAATAACCTTGATGCCAAGGAACAAGCGTTGCTTCATTTTTCGGTGTCTTTGTCCTGAGGTTCCACACCGGGGAACCAGCAATGTCTGGACCAATTAATCTTATTTAGTGAAATCGACATCACAAAAACAGACAGTTATTCCTTGAGAACTAGAGGCATCAAGTAATGTGCAATTACTATTCCTCGTTTTTATTTTAAGGATGAGATATGATATGAGCCATTATTTGTTCTTTGTAATTGCAAAAAATCAAGTTATTTAATCCTTTTAAAATGTGTATATTTTGTGATCTATTGTAGTCAGTCTTGTCCCATAATATCATATATTATGCCAAAATGGTGTCATTAACATTTAAAAATTTACTTTAGGTAAAATTGAATATGAGCAACAGCCTTCCCAATCTAATATTTTACTCGCTTCTTTTACAGTAGTCACTGCTTTGCAACTGACATAATTTATAACATGTATACATTTCTAGAATTTAAACAAGTCTAAATTGAAAACAACGTTCAAACCTTTGATTGCGTTGGATAAAAACCGCAATTTTTATACGTGTGCATGCAAACAAATTTCTTGTTAGAGGGGTCTAAATACAGCACAAACAACATTTTCCAAAAGACCAAAAAAGTGAAAAAGTATATTTTAACAAAACGCATTTGACTAACAGGTCGAACAACAAATGTTCTTAAATCCTGCTGACTGCCATTGGCGATTGCCAAATAAACGGATCACAAGGTGTAATAAATGGATCTTAACTATAAATTTAATACCAAACAGAAAACAATAAACTTGCGGCGAAGATGGTATACCGCAAACAAAGGTGCAAAGATTTTTTGTACACCATATCCGGATTTCGACAATTAATGTCTCTTCAGTGATGTTAGGAATCGAAACGGTTATTGGAAGGCCAAATAATTTACCTCAATTTAGGATAGACTCTTGAATTTTGAGGAGTCTAAATAGGATGAACGGATCATATAAACCCGAAGGCAAATATAATACAAGCCCAAACGAAAAAATATAAACAAGTCTAAATTGAAAACAACGTTCAAACCTATGATTGCGTTGGATAAAAACCGCAATTTTTATACGTGTGCATGCAAACAAATTTCTTGTTAGAGGGGTCTAAATACAGCACAAACAACATTTTCCAAAAGACCAAAAAAGTGAAAAAGTATATTTTAACAAAACGCATTTGACTAACAGGTCGAACAACAAATGTTCTTAAATCCTGCTGACTGCCATTGGCGATTGCCAAATAAACGGATCACAAGGTGTAATAAATGGATCTTAACTATAAATTTAATACCAAACAGAAAACAATAAACTTGCGGCGAAGATGGTATACCGCAAACAAAGGTGCAAAGATTTTTTGTACACCATATCCGGATTTCGACAATTAATGTCTCTTCAGTGATGTTAGGAATCGAAACGGTTATTGGAAGGCCAAATAATTTACCTCAATTTAGGATAAACTCTTGAATTTTGAGGAGTCTAAATAGGATGAACGGATCATATAAACCCGAAGGCAAATATAATACAAGCCCAAACGAAAAAATATAAAAAGTCTAAATTGAAAACAACGTTCAAACCTATGATTGATTTGGATAAAAACCGCAATTTTTATACGTGTGCATGCAAACAAATTTCTTGTTAGAGGGGTCTAAATACAGCACAAACAACATTTTCCAAAAGACCAAAAAAGTGAAAAAGTATATTTTAACAAAACGCATTTGACTAACAGGTCGAACAACAAATGTTCTTAAATCCTGCTGACTGCCATTGGCGATTGCCAAATAAACGGATCACAAGGTGTAATAAATGGATCTTAACTATAAATTTAATACCAAACAGAAAACAATAAACTTGCGGCGAAGATGGTATACCGCAAACAAAGGTGCAAAGATTTTTTGTACACCATATCCGGATTTCGACAATTAATGTCTCTTCAGTGATGTTAGGAATCGAAACGGTTATTGGAAGGCCAAATAATTTACCTCAATTTAGGATAGACTCTTGAATTTTGAGGAGTCTAAATAGGATGAACGGATTCTAGAATTTATATATTGAGAAATTATTAGAAATTAAAAGAGAGGCGGTAGATACCAAAGGCATAGTCAAACTAATAAGTCGAACACGAACTGACAATGCCATGGTTCCAACTCCTGTAGACGGTTTTTGTTATTCTTGAATTCTGAATTGTTGAATCTGCCCTTATCACTTGACCCTGGATTTAGTCTTTTTAACCTTTTTTTATTTGAGCGTCAATGGTGAGTCTTTTTTCAGACGAAACGCGCGTCTGGCGTTCAAAATTTCAATCCTGGTATCTATGATGAGTTTATGCACCATCTAGGATGTAGCGGTTTGTCCACCTAACCACATGCACTGACATATAGTCATGATAGTTCTAAATACTTCTATTGTCTAGTAAATATGCAACGTTTAAAAATGTCGGTTCAAATATCCTTAGAGAAGTATTGTTCGGGTATATAACGGGTATATTATTAGTTTTGTCAATTGGCTTGCTAGTTTTGTAATTTTTGTTTTAAAGTAGAAGTAGTTACATACTATTACTGTCTATGACAGACCATAAGATACAGACCATTCATATTTTGTGTGGAATGATAAATTGTTTGATTCTAGATTTTTTGAAATAATAATTTCAAATCAACATTGATTATAAAAATCTTGTTTCTGTATGTTATAAAAAAAACAGTTTTGATTAAAGTTGGAAAAAAAAGCGTGCCCCCCCCCCCCCCCCCAAAAAAAACCCCTCGCCCACCACAAAAGAGGAATGGTTGCTGCCTTATCATAGTCAGTCATAAACCTTGTTGAGAAGTGAAATTTAATGTTATTTCTGTGTGATTTGTAGGTTAATAATGCAGGAATGGCGCACGCCTGCAAACCGGAGATACCTCAGATAAAGAGTATGATGAAATGTTTGACACCAATGTTAAGGCACAATTCATGCTAACAAAAGCCGCTATGGAATATCTAAAACAAACAAAAGGTAGTAACTTAGAATAAGGTTATAGTCGTGATAACCATGGTTGCATGGGGGAATACCTAAAATATGCCCTAACGAGGTGAAAATCATTTTGACGTATTTAGATAATAAAGCCTCAACATGATATATGTAAAAGAAGAAAATAGCTTACAAATTATAAGTCTAATATCTTCGGTGAGTGTGTACAACCAGTGAGTCGATGTCACTGTTGGTGGACGTTTTATACCAAGGGCATTACCAGTTTTTTTTTTGACGATATTAACAAATGAGAAAAATATCACAACAATCTTATTCCTGTATACACAATTTCGATGAATATTTCAAATTCATTGAATGGTTAAGGCTACTATATAAGCGTCTGTTAGAATTGATAACTGTGTAACTAACAGCAGTGTAACCAGGCATGACAGTTAGTTGGTTATATCTTTAAAAGAAAAATAGAGGTAGGGCTTAATTCTATTCGAGCGTCGCTGACGAGTCTTTTGTAGACGAAATGCACGTCTTGCGTAATTTTTTTAAAACCTTGTATCTATTATGAGTTTATTTATAAGTTATTGTGAAATGATGTGGATGCACAACATACGAGCATATACACTTTTATAAATGTTTACGTTGTTCTTGTATGTGAATGTTGTTTAAGGATTAAATAGTTTTTTTTGTAGTTGTATGCTGACCGAAGCATATTTTTTATGCCACTCATTTAAAACTATATAAAACTCCTTAAAATACAAGATCGCATGTACAATGCTATTTTCGTCGAATGAGCAGAGCGAGTCTCAACTCTTTACAGTAAAAGGCTGAAGTTATCTGTAAACGTTTTTTAGAATGTACTAAAAATGAAAAACTGCACAAAGCTCATGCATTGCATTCATCACATTCATTGACAATACCTCTTGGGCCTCTTTGTTATTGAAAGTCATAAAACACACTCCTATATAATCATTAATTAAAATTTTCGAATTTAAATACAAGAATGAACGAATAACTGATAGGTAATGGATCTTTTAATGACAAAAATGTTTTGAACTTGTTGTTCTTACATACAATTAAGATGCTAAGTCATAGTTTATTCTTCCCATTCTAATTTAGGAATTTGCATACCACAGTTACCATGGTATATATTAATATGACCCTCACAGTTGAAGTAAAGGTCAAAAACAGATTTGTACTCTTTGAATTTGTCTCTATAGACAGTACATAACTGTCTATTCCATGAACAAGGTAAAATATGAAATAATTCTTCGTGTTCTAAACTTAACAAAAAGAAGAAATCTTGGTGAGCTAAATGGCCTCCAAAAGAATATTTTTTCGACGCATCTTTTATAACTTTGGGATTTATATATTGATTGTAAATGTTCGATTTTCTCATTTTATCCAAGTTTAAAAGCAAAACGCCCGCATTGAATCCTGTTATTCCATCTGGAGGTGGCTCACCAATGCGAGTTCCCGGATGCAATTTGCGATATTTTGACATCACATGTCTGTAAGCTGGTTGGTTTTCTCTAGCTATACCAATGATATTTGTATTTGAAAATTTATTAAATAATTTGTGAAGTTCCATAATATCGTTATTTAACTTTATGTCACAGTCTAGCATAATGATTTTGTGTATTGTATCTGGCATTAGTTTGTGCATGACAATAGATAAAAAGAAAATGGAGTCTTGATAATTCGCCAAATCTAAATTTATGAAGTAAGGCTTGATGTCTTTGATGATATTATATGATCTCTTTGACATGTCTTCATCATCGAACTTTATAACCTGAAATGTAATTTATCACAATTATTGTTAATGCAGATGTTCATTCCTTCTAAGCTAGAGGCCTCCAGAAATGGGCAATAATTTTTAAATTTGTAAATTACAATCTATTTTTTTGTTTAGGATTTGAGAATAATAGCTAACAAAAGGTACCAGGTTTAAAATTTAAGACGTGCGTTTCATCCACACAATACTAACCAGTGACGCTCAGATCAAAATAGGTAACTGTTTGAAAATTAAGTTGATATAAGAACCCTACAAAATAGACCACAAATCATCTTTTATTTCGTATTTGAATGTTCCAAAATCAATCAAAGTTTGATTCATGTATATGTAAAAGTGCACATACATAAGATCGATTTCTATCTGACGCAGCTCATTTGTTATATCATAAGAATTATCATATCCTACGTAGCAGTTTTATTTAATACTTACAACAACTTTCTTTTTTCTGTATTTCATTGTAGCATTTTTTATGATGTTTTCTGCAAGGATGTAGCTTGAGCTATCAGCAATGATGTAAATATTCAGGGGAACAGTTGTCCACTTAATCATTGAGAAAACAGCAGTTTCAAATTTTGATTCCATATTCATTCTGGGATATAGTTTAGCGTTTTTAAATATAATTCCTATGTTGATGTCGTTAAAGTCTGTTGTATAAGTCATTTGATTCGCCACACTGGTTTCGTCTCTAATTGCATGATGTGTTTTACTGTTGTAAACACTCCTTGACTTATGTAGATGATATATGATAAATAAAATTTGAACAATGAGTAAAAATAACGAGACAATACGTCTTGATTTCATTTCTGTTGCATGTCTCAGATCAAACGATTTCTGAAATATAAAATAAAGGAAATACAATAATACATATACATAAAACAACTCACCGAAGATAGCAGCGACTCATTTCATAAAAAATCTTAAGAGAAAAACACCTCGTAAGTCATGAACATTTCAGTATAACTTACGATCAATTTTTATCGTAAGATTTTTTGTGAAAAGAAATCATGGCTTATTTTTGGACGTCTCGTTTACAAAAGACTCATCAGTGACTCTCGAATATAAAAGTTAAAAGACAAATAAAGTACGAAGTTGAAGAGCATTGAGGACCCAAAATTCTGAGAGGTTTTGCCGAATACAACTCAGGTAATTTATTCCTAGGGTATAAATCCTCCTAAATTTATTGTACGTTTGTTGTTTTTTTATGCCCCCGCCGTAGTGGAGGGGGCATTAAGTTTTACTTGTCCGTCTGTACGTCCGTCCGTACGTCCCGAAATTGGTTTCCGTTCTCTAACTTTAGTTTGTCTCAACCAAATGTTATCAAACTTTTAAACAATGATTATTACCACAAAACACAGATCAAGTGTGAATTTGGGTGGCATCACTTTTACCGTTCTAGAGTTATGCTCCTTTACAAATCGAAAAAATGCAGAATTTTTCGTTTCGGTTCTGTAACTTTAGGTTTGCCTCAACCAAATTTTATGAAATTTATACACAATGCTTATTCCCACAAAACTCAGATGAAGATTGAATTATTGTGGCACCTGAGATCACCCCCAGTTTTTGGTGGGTTCGTGTTGCTTAGTCTTTAGTTTTCTATGTTGTGTCATCTGCACTATTATTTGTCTGTTTGTCTTTTTATTTTTGGCCATGGCGTTGTCAGTTTGTTTTTTGATCTATGAGTTTGACTGTCCCTCTTGTATCTTTCGTCCCTCTTTTACCGTTTTAGAGTTCTGCTCTTTTACAAATGGAAAAATTGCTGATTTTTTCGTTTCCGTTCTCTTACTTAAGTCTGCCTCAACCAAATGTAATGAAACTTTTACACAATGCTTATTACCATAAAACTCAGATCAAGTATGAATTTGGGTAGCGTCACTTTTATCGTTCTTGAGATCGCATTTGATTAAGGACAAATTAGATTAAATTGGTCATGACAAGTATTTTTTTATAAGAATCTGCATACAATAGTAGAATATTGCACTTTAACTAGAAATAAAAAAAATAATGTATTGATCTCTTTTATTTTATTGAAATAATTCTTTCAAAATAAATGTTCATTTGTATAGCCTTACAATCGGCGAAGATCGATCTTCAAACTGTCTCAAACTGTGTTTGCAACATCAATTTCCGTGTGATCTATATTATATAACCATATTGCCACACATTTAGTTTTGAATATATTAACCAATCTTTAACCGTGTTATTAGTGAAACACTTCAAAAAATATACGTTTTCAAGGCTTTATGACACTCTCTCTAAATCTTTTTATTACTACCTGTAACGTCTATGTTATATATGCACCTATAATTATTGTATTTACATTGTGTCATAGATCAAACTTATTAGTTTAGTGTATGTTTACTTGTTTTTGTTTAAATGTCTTTTTGATACAGTTAAGCCATTTCAGTTGATATTTTATAGTATGTATTTTTATGTTGTAATGTTACACTACTGTCTCAAGTTAGGGTGAAGGTTGGCGCCTGTAAAAACGTTTAAACCCGCTGCATTTTTATGCACCTTTCCTAAGTCAGGAGCCTGTTGTTCAGTGGTTGTCGTTTGTTCGTGTGATTCATATGTGCTTCTCTTTTTTTCGTTTTTTATATAGATTAGACCGTTGGTTTTCCTGTTTGAAATGTTTTACACTAGTCATTTTGGGGCCCTTTATAGCTTGCTGTACGGTGTTGAAGGCCGTACTATGACCTATAATTGTTAACTTTTTATACATTGTGACTGTGATGGAGAGTTGTCTCATTGGCACTCATACCACATCTTCTTTTTTATATTTATGACACAACGAGGTTTAGCTAATTTCGACGTTTTGTGGAATTTTCTTCATGCGCTACACATTGACTGATGTAACGTTATGATTACTTTACATATTTTATAAAACAAAAAATTAGCTGGCAACAACATGTCGATTATAAAGATTATACGTACTGGGTGTTGCGACGGAGGTTGTACCAAGTCAGGAATATGGCAGATGTTTTCCATTCGTTTAATATGTTTGAGCTTTTGATTTTGCCAATTGTTAAGGGACTTCCCGTTTTGAATTTTCCTTGGAGATCGGTATTTTTGTTGTTTTACTTTTTTTAAAGACAAATTTGATAACTTTTCCAAACTTTTGCGTGCATTTTATACAAATGTTTACTTATTTAAAGGATTTACATTCGAGGATATTTTAGTAAGTTTAGCAGTTTTATAGTTAATTTATTTTTATTCAATTAGAGCTCAATTTGTCTAAGTAATGTGTAACACACATCTGGGACATATTGCATTTACTGTTCCTTGAACTTAACAAAAATAAGTGCATTTCTATTTCACTTGAGTAAGTCAGTTATCTCTATGAAAATTGTTTCGTTCCGGGTAAAAGAAATAATTATTAATTCTATCCATCACTAATCAAAATTAAACAAAAAATACAACATTATATTTCCAGCAAGAAATATGTCAATTTTCCTAATTAGTCATTGAAAAATTCGAATAATGTTACGTTTATGCATGTTGATATTGATCTTTTTATTTTTAATGTCCGAAGGAGTGTACTAATGTTTTCTTCATTTAAAATCACGATACTATTAACAGTTTGGAATCTTTTTGATTATTCCATATTGATAGAACTTTAGTAGTTTTTTCCATATGAACTGGATTTTGAATAAAACTGAATATTAACTTGCGTGAAAAGTATATTCAGCGCGCAAAACATAGCGTGTATTTACGTGCATAATTATGGTAAAATCGTTTGATGTGCAATTGGTTTTTGGTAAACTATTGTCATTACATAGATTCCCTCTCTCGGAAAACGGAATAAAACAATTTCTGTCTTTTGTTTCGGTAAATATAGGGTTTAATTGACTTTTGAAAGCATTAAGTTTATTATGTGTCAAGGAAAAATATTATAATTTTGAATATTTATCGAAGCATGCATCAGAAGCCTGTAATGCAGTGGTTGTCGTTGGTTGTTGTCCGCATATTGATTTGTTATATATAAATCAGGTCGTTAGTTTTCTCATTTGAATTGTTTCACATTTGTCAGGGCCTTTCATAGCTGATTTTACGGTATGAGTTTTGCTCATTGTTGAATGCCATACGATGACTTATAGATGCTTACATCCACGTCATTTGGACTCGTGTAGAGAGTTGTCTCATTGGAAATCACATCACATCTCCTTATTTTTATATGCCCCGCCGTAACGGAGGGGGCATAAAGTTTTACCCTTGTCCGTCGGAACGTTCGTCCGTTTGTCCGTACGTCAGTACGGCCGTGGTTTGTGTTCTCTAACTTACGTTTGCCTCAACCAAATGTTATGAATCTTGTACACAATGCTTATTACCACAAAACAAAGATCAAGTTTGAATTTTTTTTTGCGTTGCTTTACTGTTCTTGAGTTGTGTCCCCTTATAACGTTATATGCAAGCGGTGGCATCATTTGTGTCCCATGGACACATTCCCCATTTATTTATATTAAATGATTGCGTTTGAGTAAATTTTGTCGAAATTGAAATCAATTACATCATTTCAGACACCTGATTACTTGAGATATAATAGATAATCATTATAGCAATTAATATGATTCTAATCAATGAATGTAGTATTCTTTGAATCACTTACTTATTTCAATTACAATGCTTTTTCATCCAATCCCAACGCTTTTCCCATCCACCTTTTAACTTGTATAAATCCACAAGGCAATTGTTTTCACTTAAAAATAACAAGACATGTGTCACAACAGCTTACATTTTAACATTAAAGGGTAACAAATCGATAAAAAGAATTTTATTTTTTTATAAATCATTATTAAAATTTTTTCTACAGAAAATATTGTATTTGTTTCAAGTATTTGTGGCGGTAGACCGGTAAGTTCAACTCCTATATTATATGACGAAAGTATATGTGGTGTAAGACCGGTTAAGTTCAATCATCATTTCTAGACATTTACCTCGAATATGACAACAGTGGTCATCTCAGTACCAGAATCTATTACAAACGAGACGATTTCAATTTTCCTCACCGTAGCAGCAAAATACCATCTTCGCCGCGTATGGAGTAGACACTTCTCAACTCATACGATATTCAATAGCTTGCAGCTGTTACTCAGACTTTGTAAAACATCATCTGTGTCTGAGCAAAAATTAATGAGCCAGGGTTTTTTCAAAGAACGTCTTGTCCTTTTTCACAAAAAGTTCATCGGAAAGTACCAAGACCTAGTAGATAAATATTCAGTGTGTACTTCACTAATAATACAAGATTGTCTTGATGTTTAGCTTATAGGTGCTGAAGATGTGTCTTTTTATTTTACTTAAGTTTCGATCCCGTTACTTGTCTTCGTGCTACTAGTATAATGTTACTTTTTGTCGTATGACTTTTGACGTAACTCGGTATTCATGCATCCTGCCATCAGGTTTTTGACTTTTAACTTTGGGCATTCCTGGTGCAGCTGGGTCATGAGGTGAGATTCGGACACAAAGGGTTTTTACAATGTTGTTTCTATTTTGTTTAGATCGTTAGATTAATTTGTATGTTTGTTTTAATTTTTTTTTAGTCAGTCTGTGATGTATGTTACACAGTTTTGGCTGCTGGATCCCAGTTATTGTCACAATAACCTATTATGTCTGTTTGGGTTGTTCACCCAATTTTGTCAATGTAACGGAAATGTAAACAACTGTGATACAAGTGGGAGGTTTAGCCAGCTATAAAACAAGGTTTAACCCACCATTTTCTTTGGAAAATGCCTGTACCAAGTCAGGAATATGGCAGTTGTTTTTCACTTATTCCGTTGATTTTGTTAGTTTTTATGAACTTCTCCTTTTTTAATTTGCCTTGGTGTTCGATATTTCTGTTATATTTTTTCTATATGTCTGTGAATGTGCCAAATACTTTGGAACACATGAGTTAAATTCATGGAGATATTTAAACTGGATATCACATTTTACACAATGTGTGAAATAGCCAGAAAACTAGAACATATACCCCCATTTGTCTTATGAGCAGAAGGCAATTAATCTGAATAGTGCCACCCTTGTGTAGATAAAGTGTATGTTATATTTACAAAACAGTGATATAAAAAATTGAAAAACTTTGAAAATAAGTACGGTGATCTATATTTTTTGAAAATGAATTTGAAATGGATGTATATTTTACATTTTTAGCAAAACATAAGGAAAATCTATCAAAATTATGTTATGGATGTCAAGTTGGTTAAATATTTGTATACAGTTTTTATAGTGTCTGTCCACCTTTATATAGAGTATAGAAATGAAGCATGAGTTGATGGTCTCAATGAGTAACTATACATTGTTTTACAGATGGGAGAGCTGTCTGTATATTGTATGAGTAAAGCGGCTATTGATATGTTTACCCAATGTCTTGCTTTAGGTCAGTATATATTGTATGGCTTTAGTGTCCTTTGAGGTATGTAAACGGCTACACCCACTTCATTTGAACTCTGTTGGATAGTTGTCGTATTGGCAATCATACCACATCTCCTTATTTTTATATAGTCAGGTACCTATAAAGTAGCAGAGATAACGGACAATTTGAGAAGATATTTAAGACGGTATATTACAGGGAACATCATCCCTTGTGTTGGGATGGTGGGTTGTTGATAGAGTCGCAGTTTTCATACGACCAGGGTTTTAGTATATTTTCCATAAAACTGCGACATTGAAGCTTAAGTCAACTTATTTTCATATTTTTAAATGAAACTGAAATGAATGAAATTGAAGAAGGTGTAAAACTGCCTTTATATTTATTAATGTCATTTCATTCTGTAAAACAGCAGGAAATATAAAATTTTCGTTAATGCACTAACAAAAAAGGACTTCAGACATAAGGAGATTATTAATCACCTTTGCATCCAAACCCCGGATTAATTTCTTTTATTCATGTTTCGAGTTGATGATCATAGAAGGTTTAGGTTTCTTTGGCAACAACTGTACATGTTAATGTTGCTGAGATATTCTATATACTTTTTTTACTCCGAACTTTCCATTTTTATGTAACTCCGTTTAAATTTGATCTGCATATTAGATATAAGAAGATGTGGTATGAGTGCCAATGAGACAACTCTCCATCCAAGTCACAATTTGTAAAAGTAAACCATTATAGGTCAAAGTACGGCCTTCAACACGGAGCCTTGGCTCACACCGAACAGCAAGCTATAAAGGGCCCCAAAAATGACTAGTGTAAAACCATTCAAACAGGAAAACCAACAGTCTAGTCTATATAAAAAACGAGAAAGAGAAACACTTATCAACAACATCAACAAACGACAACCACTGAACATCAGGTTCCTGACTTAGGACAGGTGCAAACAAATGCAACGGGTTTAACGTTTTAATAGGCGCCAACCTTCACCCTACCTGAAACAATAATGTAACATCACAACATAGAAAGACACACTATAAAATATCAATTGAAATGGCTTAACTCCATCAAAAGACATATTAACAAAAACAAGTGAACATACACTGAACGAATAAATTTGATCTATGACACAATGTAAATACAAAATTAATAAAACAGGGGGTTAGATATAAAACAATATCAGAAAGACAACCATAACCTTGAACAAAATGCCGCCAAATAAAATAACGTACACAGGTAAATAAAAATAATTTTGTAGTAAAGTATACATTGAGTACGGAAATAACTTTGTTGTTCCTAGTACGAGAACAAAAGTGAAAATTTGTCGTCATACTAAACACTTATCAAAGGTTCTATATATTAAAAATAGTGAGACTAGATATAACACTGAATAAGTTAATATTAAATAACAAAAATACATCACAAATTGTATCAACAGGTCAAATTAACACGAAAGTACGATTTGAGAGTAGTCGCAGTTACTGAAAGCTAGTTGAAAGCCAAAAACAATTAATAATAAAAAAAATCATGCATCAGAGACCATATTAGGTATATATATATTTAGATAATCTACATATTTTATCAATTTATATAATGTCTTTAAATTGATGCCTTATTAATTTACGTGTGTTTCATATCTGGATTTCCTGGCTTATAAGGAAACTGCTAAACTAAGAGTTTTTTAATGATAACGTTGAAAGTCATCTCTTCAAAACTTTTACGGACACCACCATTCTTGATAAGATCGTTTTTGAATATCTTTGTCAAAGATGGCAATGGATGTTCTATTTGTGATTGAAACATTCCCTTTTCTTCGTCGCGATCTAGTCTTTTTGTGCTGAGGCGGCGTAAAGCAAACACCAATCAATCAGTCTTTTCTTAGTTCATAACTTATTGCCGAATTTAGACATGTCATAAGCAATCCGACAGGTTGCATTGGTGAACAATGACTGCTTCTTACCTTTTAGGAGCACTTAAGTTCAATTTTGTTTTAGTGGGCGTTATGTTGCTCATTTATTAGTTATCTGTGTTGTGTTTTATGCACTAATGTTTGTTTTTTCTTATGTTTCTTTTGGTCATGGTGTTGTCTAATTTATATTGCATTGATGACTTTTATTTTCCCATTGGTATTTCCATACCGTTGTATAGATATAAAAATAAGGAGATTGATAATATTATACATAAGTTGACTATTATTGATTATTTCAGAATTGGCTCCATTTGGTGTAAGAGTAAACGCAATTAAGTAAGTTATTTATTTGGTTGGTATTTATTAGGAACAAACAACATGGCAGCTAGACATAAAGTAGAATAAATTTGATTTACAATAAAATCTATTGAAAAGCACCATACAACCGGGTTATTTCTGGAAACCACTGTCTTAATTGGCATAATAGTAGTATTTCTTCATTATGGTATATTGGCAATCATGTAGTATCTGGTTTTCAGATTTCTGCAACCAAAGTTGTACCCATGCAAACAAAATTTGAGGTATATAGGAACCACCTTCTTCGTCTGACTTCTGTGTGTCTGTCCGTCCGTCCCAATTCGGGTCAGGGGCATAACTGTTGTATCGTAGCACTTAGATTGAGTTAACTTGGTATACAGATGCAGTAATTAAAACTAACATTTTTGACAGTCTTCAGGGATTTGCAGTAATAAACACAAGCATTAATTTGTGAATATACAGTAAAAAAAACTCATCCTTTTGTTCCTGTGTCAGATTGACTTACCGGTAATCCTGTGTCAACATCACACAGTGACAATGATTATATAAAGTAAACATACTGAAAGCCAGACATAGCTTGTATTTTATTGGACTCTCAACGAATTCAATAAAGTTATTTTATCATGGTAACCTTTTGAAACGATTCACTAATACTTTTTTTATGATTAATGATAATATATCAACAACATTCTCCATCTACAAATCTATTCCCTTTTCAGCTCATAAATATATTTATTATTGACTTAAATATACAAATTGACAATGAAGGTTTCAATTTTCCCATTATAACGTTTCATTTTTGAGTGTCAACATTCCAGTACCGCTTACATATGGTATTTATTTTCAAGTTGGAACGATATTCCAGCGAAGGCATTTCCTATCATGATTTCTTTGAAAGAGTGTTAATGCTTAAAAGAAAGTCATTGCATCAAGGGTTCCAAATTGAAACTTGGAGTAATCACTTTTACGGACTCCATCATGATTTGGTTGACCGTTATGGGATATCTACGTCACAGATGACCACGGATATGTTCAACTTGTCGTGACCACGACGGGTGTCACAAGTTTAGCAGGAACAGTCGGCCCTCCCAATATCCATGAGTTCATCCCGGTTTTTAGTGCGGATTGTATTGCTTATACTTTAGTTTTCTGTGTGGTGTTTTGTTATTGTTGTTTGTCTTTTAATCGTTTTTCTTTTTTTGCCATGGTGTTGTGTGTTTTTATTGAACTAAGGATTTTTTTTGTCCCCTAGGTATCCTCTCCCTCTGTCTTAATAATTTTATACAAATTGATATACATTATATGTTGATCAGCGTTGAAGCACCATCTGCGTTTGTTATACTACTTGTAGACTTTCCATACTAAATATTACCGTTGACCTCCTTGTTAACAGTATGTTTCCTATTTAATCCAGGTACAATAGTTTCAAAGATAGCTAGACGTGGAGAAAGAGGATATCATTCTGATAAAGACTATTCAAAAGTACCTTTATTCGTTATTTTGGATTTTTATTGTGTCAAAACTTTCGTAAAAGTTATCTTTTCATTTTAAAATATCAAATCTCCATAGACATTAATTATATGACTGACACATGCATGCATTCGTCAAATTCGTAGCAAAGGTTCAATTTGTGATTGAAATTGGGATAAAAGCTAGGTCAGACCAAACTAACTATGAATGGCATTTTAAACTGAACACTTAAATATCAGAGCAAAAGATATCCACCGTCATCAACAACTAATTTATACCATTTGAGACGTTTTGTTATTTCTAGGTATCAATTGTTTTTGTTTTACTGTTTCATTGGCATTTATGTTCAATAATACTTAAAACATGAAATGGTCAATTTGAATATAACTTTCAGTTTCAGAAAGTACTGTCCGCTAAGTAGCCAGTGCTTTGTTACTTGTATGACTTAAATTATACATTTCAACATTGAATATCCATCACATAAATTATTTAATTGTTTGAAGTTACTTTAAATGATTTACTTCCATATTAGGCTGTCTTTGAATGATTTAGCTGTTCTATTTGTGACTTTTTCACACAAAAGTTTAATATGTTTTGCTATCCCAATTTCTGGTCTCTATCGTAACTGTTGAAAAAATATTCAATTACATTTTTTTTTCGTTTTATTGGGTCTATTTAGAAAATGGAAAATGTTTTATTAAGATACTAACGTATATATCAAATGACACTCTCACTCATTTGACGTGCTAAAATTGAATTGAATTTCAGCTTCATAAGCTGCTTTTACATAAAAATGGACATTTCAATTAAAGCAATGTTTACGCGATTTATTTTACAAAACGAATTCGTTGGTGCAAATTTTGCACAGTAGAAAAAAAAATATTCCATTTCATCTGGTTTTACGAATATTTTTCCATGTTATCTTAGTAAGTACCATAGCTGAAAACAGTCCAAAATATCCACCTCATACATTTATGTCTTCTTTTGTATATATTAGTGGTTTGAATAAGTGAACATTGTAATGTAAATTATTTTTCGAAACAGCCGTGGACAGAAACATTATTGTGTGGGATAGTACTACATCTACATGAATCATATGTACGTCTAACATATTTATAATTATCTGGAAGTTTATCCTTGACTATAAGTGTTTCATAGATAAAAGTAAACTGTATTTAGAATGTATAGTTTGGTTAATATTAGATACAGTATGCAAAAAATTCAGCTTCAACCTATTTTCGTTTCAGTTTTTAGTAGCACAAACAGCAACACATCCACTTGGAAGAGTAGGCGTGCCACAGGATGTGGCATCAGCAATTTCTTTCTTAGCTTCCGACGAAGCATCATTTATTTCTGGTCAGATTTTATATGTCGATGGTGCACGACATTGCATATCCGCTGGAGTAACAACAAGTGTTAAATGATACATGTAATTGTGTATTTTATGGAATAATTTATACCATTAAAACTGAAGCAATTTAAAAATATGAAAGAACAAAGGTATTGTTTTAGTTGATTGAAAGAAATGAGTAGATACGAAAATAATTCTCTGAAAGAAAATACTATAAAACACAAAATGATACCGGTAGACTACAGAATGAGAGTAAATACAAGAAAAGTGGCACATATAGGTCATCGTACGGTCTTCAACAATGAGCAAACCCCATACCCTACAGAAATCTGTAAAAAGACCTTCTTTACTAAATATAAAAACAATTCGAAAAGGAAGACATGATATATGCTTTACAATAAATGTACAACCTATATGACAGACAGCAACAAACGTCAATCACTGAATTACAAGCTCCTGACCTAAGACAGGCACATTAATATTTGTACGGTGTTAAACATGTTTGTTTTGCACATAAATCAGGCCGTTGGTTTTCTCAGTTGAATTGTTTTACATTTTGTTAAGTCAAGGCATTTTATAGCTTGCTATGTGGTGTAATTTTTCTCGTTGTTGAAGGCCGTACGACGACCTATATTTATTTAAATCTACGTCATTTGGTCTCTGGTGGATAGTTGTCTCATTGACAATCATACCACATCTCCTTATTTTTGATTATAAGAGCTGAAACCTCCCCTTACATAAAACAGTGTTGTAACAGCACAAGATTAGAAAAAAAATATTGAAATGAAATATAAAAATCAGTTGGAAAAGTCTGTACTCATCATATCAGCACTAAGCATACCGACGACCCTAACAAAAAGACAGAAAACACCTTGTTTTAAATTACGGAATACATCTCCCTCATGCAAAGCTCTGATTCCTTTCCCGGCGTTGGCTATACTTTTTGTCATTGTTTGGTTTATAAGCTTTTCAGTTTTGGATTTGAAATATTTAGGTCTCGAGCATGACGAGACTTGTATTGTCGAAATACGTATCTGGTGCACCCAACTTGGTACCGTTAATGTAATTACATGGATCGTCTCTAACTTTCTCTGTAAACAGAATCACCGTGAAAATAAGAATGTGATATGCCGTTTGTATTTGTTTTATGTATTTTTGTCATATAGCTCTTCAACTGTTTCGGTACTTATACATTCCTCGGATTTCAGATGTTCGGCTTTGAGCGTTCCTGAAGAAGGTAAATCCAGAAAAGCGCTTCGGACGCATGAAATTATTAAACGTGTTGTTTTCAATTTTTTGTAATTGTTAATACAAGTTTGCTGAGACCTTGAAATATCTTTTGGTTTGGTATTGTTTGCTTTCCGTCTCATTGACGATTACCCAACATCTTCTTTTATTCAAAATGTGTTAAAGAAACTAATACTTTATTAATTCCGTGCGTAACTAAATCTACTAATGGAAAGCTCAAAATAAAAATAAGGAGATGTGGTTTGATTGCCAAAAGAGACAACTTTCCACCCAAGCTCAAATGAAGTGGATGTAAGCAGCTATAGGTATAGGCAACCGTACGGCCTTCAAAAAAGAGAAAAACCCATACCGTATAGTTGGCTATAAAAGGCCCCGTCAAAGCCAATTTATCAACTAAAAGATATATGTGTCGAATTTATCAACTATACTCAAGTTTGTTTGATATAAAAGTTTACTAGTATTTATGGCAACACCCTTTTATTGTTCTGTGTTTTACAAATTTAGTTTTTTCATATATACGCATGATTACACCTTTGCATTATACAGTTCCTATAGATATGTTGTTAGCTTTTTGTTCTCTCTACTTCTTCATGTTTATCCGTATGGGCATTCATATGAACTATTTCCCATTTTTTCATCCATGGCCCCTGAATAGTTGTATCAAACTCATCGTCTGGAACCTTCAAAACAATAATTCATTTATAGATAAAGAAAATATAAACATTTGCAGGTCAAGGTAATTGCAATCAAAGCATGGCAGTAAGACATATTTGACGTATGTTAACCCAACAACACCCTTGGATATATACCCATAGAGTGAGCGTGAGCTATTGTTTTTGGGATCCGTCGTTCGTCCGTTGTCGTCCGTCAGTATACGTTTTAAAAATATTTAATGAAACTTAACTTGGTCACGCTCATCTTAAGGAACCATATTTAAAATTAGTTCCTGATATTATCTGATCATTCAACATGGCCGTTGTCACTAGCAATAATACCTTTGGGAGGTTAAAACGAATAAAATGGCCCTTTTAATGGATTTCAATGTAAAGATTAAGTTTTTATCATATAGTTACTTGTTTATAATGAAGTATAAATAAACTGCCTATGTGTTGGCTAATTTCTAGTATAACCCTTGGACTTGGATATTTTGTAAAGATGAAATTTCACCCCAGCTTTCCGTATTGTTTTATGCATTGAGCTTATACTGGGTTGATGATTGTATAGTGATCATTTCCAGATCAGCTTTAGATTTCGTTCTGTTTGAACATACTTTCACCTTATTATGGCTATTGGACCTAACAAATTCATTTAAAGATCAGTAAACAAGTTCTCTACAAAGATAATAAAAATGTGACATTTGGTATATCTAAGCTGAAAGAAAATAAGTTTTCTGCTACGTGGTGAACCTTTACGACAAAAGAGATGATTTCAGCTTCCCAATTGTGAATTTTCCATTTCTATGTAGCAACATTCCAGCAGCGCCTGCATACGGAGTATATATCTCCCTATTGATACGATATTCCCGGGCTTGTATTTCCTATCATGATTTCCTTGATAGAGGATTGCTGCTCACAAGGAAGCTATTAAACCAAGAGTTCCAAATGGTGAAATCATCCCTTCGTAAATTTTACGGACGCCATCACGAGTTGGTTGACCGTTATAGAATAACCGTTTCACAGATGATATCGGATATGTTCCTTATGTCGTAACTATAATACCCTTCCCTTTTCACGAATGTGAACTAGCGAATTAGACTATTTACCGGATTTGTAATAACATAAGCAACACGACAGGTGCCACATGTGGAGCAGGATCTGCCTACCCTTCCGGAGCACCTGAGATCACCCCCAGTTTTTGGTGGGGTTCGTATTGCTTAGTCTTTAGTTTTCTATGTTGTGTCAACTGTACTATTATTTGTCTGTTTGTCTTTTTATTTTTGGCAATGGTGTTGTCAGTTTGTTTTCGATCTATGAGTTTGACTGTCCCTCTAGTATCTTTCGTCCCTCTTTTATAGCAGAACTAGATCTGATTCTTTGGAAATAATATGTAATGAGAAGTTTCAGATCTATTACGAGCGTCAGAATGGTTAAGCTGGAATTGACCTTGTCACAGAGAAGACTGGACCATCTTTTTTAAAAGGCTTTTTGAATTTATTGGGATCAAACAGTTGCAAATTAGTTTGATCGGCTGAATACATTTATCGAACCGGTTTAGGCTACGAAACCACTTCTAAATCAATTTGTTCACAAAGGTTCAAAAGGGTTTTTTTCGCAGTGAAGTTTCTTTATTTTAAAGTCCCTTTTCAGCTTCCAAATCAGCCTTCTCTGTATAAGATCAAACGAAACAATACACTAGTTGATATCATGAAATAGATATCAAATTAGAATAAAGGCTTATTGGAATCTGAAGCTTAAGCATTTCTCTTACCTCTACAAAATCTTTAATAGACTCTTTTTGTGCTGCTGTTCTATCTATAGAACAAAACGTGTCCCAGTCTGGTTTCAGTTTCGGATCAGTCGATGATCTCATAACGACCCCTGGTTTTAAATTCCATAGCCCAAAAGGTGCATCAGGTCGCTGCCAACGTAAATCCAAACTCCATCTTATATCGGTTGATACATTTGGAAGGCTAGATGAGAAGACACTTTACATTAAAAACAGAATTGTAGTTGGTCCCTAGTATGTCCATCAATAAGTAGCCGTTTTTATGCCATGAACTAGAAATTCATAGTGTGAAAAATTAGTGTTGACAGTAGAAGGTTTTAAATATCCTCTTTTCCGTCGTACGGCCTTTACGAATATCAGTTAATACGTTACTCTCGTGAATGTTCACCATATATGCGGACTCCGTTAGGGATGTAATCTTTACAATAATACAACAGATTAACAAGGAAGAACTTTGAAATTGACAATACATAAGTTTTATGGTATTGATTGACCCCATACGATGTGTATATATCTCATCTCACTAGCGGCTTTCGCGGTTTTAGATGTTTATATACCAGTAACGTCGTCTGATATATAAGATACCAGTAACGTCGTCTGATATATAAGATACCAGTAACGTCGTCTGATATATAAGATACCAGTAACGTCGTCTGATATATAAGATACCAGTAACGTCGTCTGGTATATAATAATACCGATTGTGTCCTATTTCCGATTGTGGTATTTTGATTGAGTATGGTTTAGCATGGATTAGCATGGCGGTTGATGCAAGCATAGAAGGAGATGCTTATCCTGTTGACGAACTGGACTCCCTCCTTTTGAAGTTCATGCGATTCACTCAGTTTTGTCTGTTATCTATTACTCGATTTACGATATTTAACATCGGTAAACTACTTGTGCCTTAATTTACCACAGGTAAATGAATTGCGACAAATCATGAGCGTCCTATACATTTTTGTCATTCTATGATTTTTTTTAATTTTTTTTTCCTTGAGAAGATATATCTAGAAAACATTTCACATCAGTAAATCTGTATTTTGTTTTCCATTCCCAGCATTTTTTTGGTCATAATTCATTTTTTACAGATTTCTTTTGTCATTTTTATCAGTACTATATTCGGAAGGATATGAATATTCATCAAATAAAGTTAAGACTATTTTGCAATAGACAAATGGGTGATCGGGAGTAAATATTTTCAAAAGAAATCTTTGGGAGTCGCAAATGTTTTTTTTTAATTTTTTGTAACTAACAACATATTTCTCTACACATAAACCAGATTTTTAATGTATAATATTTCATTTTTCACCCTGATCTAGTGTAGTTCAGTGTATTGTTTGAAGATTACATAAATGGTGGGAATGTTGTTTTTCATTAAAATTCTTTATGGTTGCTACTTATTTTCTTGAATATTCTGAATTGAAAGTATATTAAATTTAATACATCTGTCTTGTATAACAATGTGCAATCAGTATTCGGAATGACTCAATTATATAAAGTACACGTGGAAACATAAATATAAAACTACATGAGAATGAAAAGACTTCCTAATTTATGCTGGTTACAAAAATGTAGCTAGACAAACATTTACCTGCGATGAGGAGTCATATTGTTAAAAAGTATTATTCCACCATAAGGTACTTCGCATTTCTGCGACTCTTTTTCTATATTAACATCTGTTAAAATATTATATTTTGTCAATAATAATAAAAAAGAAGTTCAGCATCATTATATGTTTCTATAACCCGTTATCGTTGCACGAATTTTTGTGACTTTATAATGGTAATATAGTTTTATTCTAGGGTTGAAATGAATGTTTTATATTCGACTCATTGTACACTTTTCTTAAATGTGCTTCAACGATTTTTTTCAAACGTGTTTTCTTTCACCTAAAAGATTGAAAGATGCAAGCATTAGAACCAATATTCAACCGTATACAGCTAGATGTATTGGACTCTCTTAACATTTAGAACACAAAACATTATGAGTCTTAATAAACATGGCTATTCAAGAACTCGTTCTAACCAAGTGTCTTTGACATTTCTTCTTCATCCATCATCACATACCACGTGTTTCCATAGCAACACTGATGATTTCCTACTTTGCCTTTAGCATGTGCCTTCTTTACCATCTGAAAGGTAATTCGAAAAATGTTTAAGTCCAGCCTTTACTCTTTTCTATGTCCCGGATCCTTAAAATAAGTCTCTATCTAAGTGCCTAGCAGTCAGCCCTTCTGTGTTGACATGAATTATCATTAATTAATTGTCATAATTATAAGTTAAATGTTTACATAACTTTGAATTTTTCGAAATACTAAGGATTTTCTACCGTAGGAATAGATTACTTTAGCTGTACTTGGCAAAATCTTTCGGAATTTTGGATCCTCAATGTTCTTCAATTTCGTACTTTATTTGGCCTTTTTAACTTTTTTTTTATTTGAGCGTCACTGATGATTCGTTTGTAGACGAAACGCACATTTAGCATACAAAATTTTCATCTTTAATCCTGGTATCTATGATGAGTTAATTTCTCTCATTTATGTTTTGATAGTCTTGATTAATATCACAACTGACAAGACGGTAGAATACCAGATTTAACCAACAGGATCAGACGCATGCTATATTTGTCCAATTCAATTAGTTTTAACATGGGATCTACCATTTCATCATACCAGAATCAATATAGCATGAAGTCATTATCAATTTTTTATCATATACTGTGAAAATATTTAAGTTTCTCTGTTTGATTGTTTGGTAAAAGAACAGAGCCCATTATCATTGCTTGATCCTGTGATGTGTTAATGTGATAAATTCTAAAGGTGATCTCGAGTATAGGTTTGGAAAGTTTACTTATTAAAATAATTTAGAGGATGGGATCAAAAGGTGCTTCTAAACAGAAGGTCCTTGACAATTCAGCAAAGATAATTAGGCTCTGATATTTATACACATTTTCTTGAATGGTTTAATACCATAGTAAAAATTTACCTCCATGCCTCCATTAAATTGATTAGTATCCAGAAGAGGTATCCAAGCTGAAGGTATCAACACTTTGTACGAGTCATTGTCAAAGTAAGCACTATCTGAATAGGTAAGAAAATACTTAGATTTTTCAAGAATCATATAAATAAGTATATAAATAAGTAGTTATAGGTTTTCGATCTTTGTTTGTTTTATGATGTGAACGTAAACGTGATCGCACTGAATTAGGTGTGCGTTTGAATGAATTACCAACCAGGATGAGATTAGTCGTCGATATGGTAAGCATCCACAGAAATGAATTAATCGCGTATCATGCCATGCATGTTACATCTTATTTTGTAAAATCGTTTTTTCCGAAATCGTCTCGGTTGACTCGTAATAGCGTGCTCGCCTCCAACGCTCTTCAACTTTGTACTTGTTTGGCTTTATAACTTTTTTTATCTGAGCGTCACTGATGAGTCTTATGTAGACGAAACGCGCGTCTTCTGGCGTATTAAATTATAATCCTGGTACCTTTGATAACTATTGTAGCATGTCGTGGGTTAGATCCCTGGCCTGTTCAAACCAAATGCCTGGTAATATGTATTTGCTGCTTCTCCGCTAAGATCGCGGCATTTAACAGTAAGAACTTCATCATTATTATCATCATCATCATCTTTTTCTGAGATCATATACTAACAGCAACATTATTTTTTCTTACATAATAATATTCAAAACCAATTGTTCTTAAATCTTAAATAACCTTGATGCCAAGGAACAAGCGTTGCTTCATTCTTCGGCGTCTTTGTCCTGAGGTTCCACACCGGGGAACCAGCAATGTCTGGACCAATCAACTGCTCTATTATATTGAGTAAGCGTTCATTGGACCATAAGTCTCGGAAAGCCTGGAAATAATATATTTCTACAAGTTACTATTTTAAATAGTAGTACCATTTGACAAACTACCGTGCTGGAGCTTAACTTGAGACATGATATACTAACATAATCAGATATTTGCAGTAGGAGTTCGTACATAGACATTGCTCAAACTTTTCAAAGAGTTTAATGTTCGTATGCATGCCTGTTTCCTTCCATTTTGAGAAATGGTCTCCTACTTGCATTATCTATATGTTAATATTTGATGTTCTCTCATTACAGTTTTTAGATATATTTCAATACTAGTATTTGTATGACTTTTTTTCTGAAAAGAGATAGAAAACCCGTATTGAATGTTTACTACAACTATAAAGACATAAAAAATCTTAATTTTCTTAGAAAATCTGTGGTACTAGTACAGTTTCGTCAATGCAGCTGCTACTCAGACTTTATAAAACATCGCCAGTGTCTGTGCAAAAATTTGATGAAGCAGGGTTATGTCAAAGAACGTCTCGTCCTTTTTCTAAAAAAAATGTTCATTGGAAGATACCAAAACCTTGTTGGTAAATATTTCGTATCAACTTCACACATATTAAATGCTGGCCTTGAAGTATAGATTCTAGCTACTGACGTTGTTTATCATCTGAATTACGTGTTATAGTGTTCTTTTTATTTATCTTTATATATCTTTAACCATTACTGTTTAGTCCATTTTTTGGTAATATCCTTTTGGCATGGCTTGGTATCTATACATCCCGCCATTGGTTTATTGTGCTATGGTCATTTTTTGTATTCTTGTCTTTCATTTTTGCTTATTAGCTTTGTCTGTAGATTGTCTATATGCCTTTTTTTTCTTTGTTGACACAGTTGTTTTTTTTTATAGTGATTAAGATTATAACACAATGTTGACTGCTGTATCCCAATTTTTGACATTTTTACTTATTATGTCAAACATTGTTGTCAGTATAATGGACCATGTCAGGAATATGATGTATTTGAGCATTTGATTTTGGCATTTGACAAGGGACTTTCTGTTTTGAATTTTCCTTGGAGTTCGGTATTTTTGTTATTTTACTTTTTTCTGTGTCTGTTGTTTTGGATTTACATTCTTATTTTGTTGCTTGGTATTTTTGGAAATGTTTTGGTCAGTTGTTCCATCTTCGCGGTGGATAATCTGCTATATCATCTATATCCAATATGTTACTGTCACTGTTTATTAAAATTTCTTTTGAATTTTTTTAGTGTTGCCATTTACAAGTTTCAAGGGATATGTAGCGGAATTAAATCCTATTTTACCTGTTATTGGAGCTATTGGGATATTATTCATCAACATTATATCATGACAGAATATCTTCATGGATTTGCTGATAATCCTATGTCATTTTATCTCTGGTGGAGAGTTGTCTCACTGGCAATCATGCCACATCTTATAGATTTGCTATGTATGATTTGTATACAAAATAAGTTTACCTGAGGAAGGTTGCCTGTTTTGTGAAGAATAATATTTGCACCAGGGAAAGCCTCGTCTATTTTTATAAGACGCTGGAATAATCCATATTCACTGAATAATTCTACAAAACAAGACAACGGCAACATGGAATAATCCATATTCACTGAAAAATTCTACAAACAACGGCAATTTTTCTATACACATGTCAAATTGTTTTCGTGTATTTTGAAGCAAGGAAAAATTTGTTAATAAAACAACACTGTCCTTTAAGAGAATTATTGACCATTGTACTCAAATTATAAATCTTTGAAATGGAAAACATGTACTTAAATATCATTTGATGCGTTGAGTTGGAATCATTTGAGATTTAAATAAAATTAATTGACACATTCTGTAAATCTTGAACTAGTATTATAGTTTGATAACTAAATATAGCAAACATTTTTATTTCAAAATTAACATGTGTATTTATATATATATATCCAAACCTTTTATTTTGCCTGCTTTGTAGAGTTTTTGTGCTAGACCTTCAACAAGCTCATCTATTGCATCCCTGACTGGATTTAATTCTTCTGGCTTAAAAAAGTCTTTTATAATTATAAAGCCCTGGAAAAAATAAATAACACATGTAAGTTTTATTACAACTTAGGCTCGTTGAATTATATCTGAAAATCGGAAAAATAATGCATTTATCTCTTTTATTGTCTGAAATATTACTGATTGAATTCTTTCAAAATAGGTGAACATTTGTATAGAAAGCATATAAAATCCGCGAAAAACCTTCACAAATTTGTCTTAAAATCTTTAAATTTCCAATTTTTACTACATAGATTTTTCTTTAAAAACTATATGGTACATAAATTTCCTTTTTAATGATATAAAATAATCATATGGTCACCGACTTAGTTTTTGGTGTATTTACCAATCTGTTACCTTGTTGGCAGTGAATAACGTCAAAAATCGAAGTTTTACGGCCAACAACGCGACGACGGTACGACTATTTCGACGTTTTGTGGTATTTTTTCACCTACTACACCAATTTGAATGGTGACCCTATTATTATTTTGCATCATTTAAAAGGAAATTTGTGTACCAACGACATATAGTTTTTTAAGAATAATCTATGTATTTAAAAAATGGAAATTTGATGAATTTTAGACAAATTTAAGAACGTTTTTCGCCGATTTTATGTGCTTTCTATACAAATATTCACCTATTTTGAAAGAATTCAATCAGTGGTATTTCAGAAAATAAAAGAGATAAATGCATTATTTTTTCGATCTTTAATTGAAGTTCAACGAGTCAACGTTGTATGCAATATTTTAAGTAAATCTGTGACATAGCCCATTTACTGTGACTTGACCTTAAAACCATCAAGACTTCGCGATTAAGTACGTTCTGTTATTTGTCTTGGTTCAAGTAAGTATCCTATGTACCACATGTGGAGCATGATCTGCCTACCCTTCCGGCTCACCTGAGATCATGCACTCCCGGTTTTTCGTGTGACTTGTGTTGCTCAGTCTTTAGTTTTCTATGTTGTGTTTTGTGTACTGTCGTTTGTCTGTTGGTCTTTTTCTTTTTTAGCCATGTCGTTGTCAGTTTATTTTCGACTTATGAGTTTGAATGTCCCTTTGGTATCTTTCGCCTCTCTTTTTGATGACTCCTTTTGTATTTCTTTGTTCCAACAAGGAAGATGTACAGGGGCGGATCCAGACATTTTTATGGGGGTTGTCACAAATACAAATTATTTTAAAATGTTTAATTTGTTTCTTTCAATGTGTAGGTCAAGAAGGTCCATGTAGCTTCAAAACAAATAGTTACATGTGAAATATTAAAATGCCAATTTCATTTTTCTTGAATGTGATTGTGCGAAAAGTGTCAACATGATCTAAGTATAAACCATAATGCACGTGCATCAGTGCCAATCTATTGGGTAGATCTGACCAATTGTTGCACGTAAAAATATTTTCATTAACATGTGCTTATTATTTGAACGCTTACATTCGCAGCTGGCTATATTCATCATAATTTAAGAATGACAAAGATTAGTGGATGGTCAAATACCTTTCTTGACTCCTGTAAGTAAGTTCTATTGCACATGTATTTGTTTACTCCAACATGCAAGATCTTATGCATTTCTTGTCTCAAATAGGTATGTTCTATCGCTCCAGGGATTTAGCATTTTGGGTGACTCCACTAAGCAATATATATTGCAGTCCTTAACTCCAGTAAGTAAGATGCATTGCATTTCCTGGTTTCAGTAAGTTTGATATTGCATTCTTATTAAAAAAAAAGAACAACAAATTAATTTGTCATTGAATGTTTGCATCTATCACCTCAAACCAGAAATAAATACTATTCTACACTTATTACTTACGTCTTCAAAGAATCGTTTTATAGTCTCTGCAGGAAGCTGACCTAATTTTAGCTCCGTTGGTTGTGGTGGCATCGCCCGAATGTCAAATAATTCTGGATTTTCTTCATCAACATAGCCATAATAAGATTTAGACGACATATTTTACTGTGTTACGTGCTGGATGATTTATACGTGTATATATTTAATAGTTATCGAGATAAAATTTGTTTGTCCACCATGTCCTATGAACTAAATATAGATAAATAAAATACGATTGTCTTTGTTTACTTTAAAACGATCTCGTATTCTAAATAACTAAATATAGAAAATAAAACTTAACATAACGGAAAACTGCTGAATGATGTAATTTGTTGATAAAACTGAGAATGGAAATGGGGAATGTGTCAAAGTGACAACAACCCGACCATAGAGCAGACAACAGCCAAAGTCTTTTCATTTGCCCTCTTCAATGGCTAATTTTTATTTTATCATTAATTACTTGTTCAGAATGTAGCTCCTGTTCTTTATCTAATCTTTCGAAGAAATTTGTATCTGAGGCCCTTATTTATTCTTTAGAAGAAGAACGTATCTGCTGCCCTTATCACTTTAAACTACTATGAAAACTGTCATAATTTAAAGTTATCTTTCTATATATTTTTTTTAAATTGCAGAGTAAGGGCCCTAATTTGATGTAAATTAGAGATACTAATTTACTGTAAAAACAGATTAAATGCTCTTAGGATTACAATGATTTTTCAATGACATCAAATTAACAGATGAATGTTGTCTATTACAAATGTCAGTCGAGTAAAACAAATTGGTGGGGTTGATGAAAGATTTTCATGTGACCTATGTAACATAGTAAAATAAGTGTATTATCTATGGTCAGAAAATATAACTGCGAATTAGCGAGGTGATTCCTCCCATTCAGATAGACTTGTTAACATTTCAATGATTCTGCAGACTGAATGTAGTTACACTATTTCTCATAGTGACTAAGAAACTGACTTTAGCCAGAAAATTTAACTGAAAATGCGGTCAAGGTCACCCAGAGACATACAATACATTAGTATGTAGTATATGTCTCTGGATCAGCTAACCAATAATCCGTTATCCAAATATTATCGAACCAGTATTTGGGAGAGTTGCATGTCATGGCATTGTCAGTTTTTTCGACTAATGAGCGCGAATGTCCCTTTGATATCTTTCGCCTCTCTTTAATATAAGCACCAAGACCTTAAATTGATCATAAAACCATGAGAAGTCAGGGTCAAGAGACTCATGTCAGACGAACATGGACACCTTGAATAACGCGTCTGGCATTCTGAATTATAAGCCTTGTATCTAGTGTTTTACAAAGATTTAGGCTATAGATTGAGTTATTGTTGATAGTTCAATTTCATCAAAGATACCAGGCTTTTAACTTTTGGAAAGTGCGGCGCGCTTTTCGTCAACATTAAACTTAGTGGCGCTTGAATAAAAAAGTTGGAAGGCCAAATCAATATTTAAGAGTTAAAAAAGGCAAGCAATATAAAAATTACATACTGGCTACTTTAAAAGACCCCCCCCCCCATTTAAAGGAAAAACTCTTTAAACCATCCTCATGGAAACAATTGATGATTGTCTTGATCTGGTAAAGCTCTATCCTAATGAAAATGGTGTCAGGTTGTTTTAAAGTTCGAACTCCGTATTTGGTTTAGTCATTTCCTGTATTAATTCTTTAATGCATCTACGATAAAAACCATAACATTGATAAGGTTAAATAATTTTAAATGGAAGAAAGTATCTCCCTCGTGTATAACTCTGATTCCTTATCCGGTTTTCCAAATATTCTAGCCTCGAGTATCACTGAGATATTAAGTGTCGAAATTCGTATCTGGTGCAGTAAAATTTGTACCATTAGTGTTATTACCATTGCTGCGTCAACTGTTAGTCCCCGAAGGTATCACTACTATTGGCATGAAAATGTGGATATTGCATCTTTGAACTTTTCTGTTATGAAACGGGAAATTACTTTAAAGCAATTAATCTGTCTCCTTACTGCATAGCTATGATTCCTTTCCGATGTTGGTTATATTTTTTTTTGTCCTTTTTCGTTATGTCAACTCTCCGACGTTTGTTTGAGTTAACATCTCCAATTAGACAGACAAAACAGTGTATCTGTACACTCCTACTGCCATAACAAAAAAAAAACACACACCAAACATAACATCACACAAAAGTTGTTTTTTTTTGTCATTCCAAGTGGCTGGACGCATTCCTGCACATGTATTGTAAGTAACATACTGAATCAGATCAGAAGTAATAACATGATTGGTACCACAGCACAAGATTTACATTTCGACAATAAATATCTCTTCAGTGTTATTCACAGCCAAAGTATTTAAAAGTTAATTACCTACTAGTTATACAAACGTTTGAAGACCTGAAAAAAGGACCAAAAATAAAGCCAATCACAAACAAGGAATATGAGCTTTGCACGAAGGAGATACACTCCTTAATTTAAAATCATTTCATAACAGCAAATTTGAAAAAATAAATGGGGAATGTGTCCATGGGACACAGATGATGCCCCCGTTTGCATATAACGTTATAAAGGGCCATAACTCAAGAACGGTAAAAGTGACACTACCCAAATTTGAACTTGATTTGAGTTTTGTTGTAATAAGCATTGTATATAAGTTTCATAATATTTAGTTGACGTAAACTTAAATTAGAGAACAGAAACAAATATTTCAGCAATTTTGAGATTTGTAAAGGGGCATAACTCTAGAACGGTAAAAGTGACGCCAACAAAGTTCATACTTGATTTGTCACAGTGTATTGTGGTAATTAGCATTGTGCATAAGTTTCATAACATTTGGTTGAGGCAAACTAAAGTTAGAGAACTAAAACTAATATTTCAGCAATTTTTCCATTTGTAAAGGGGCATTACTTTAGAACGGTGAAAGTGACACCACCAAATTCAAACTTGATCTGTGTTTTGTGGTTATAAACATTGTGGATAAGTTTCATAACATTTGGTTGAGGCAAACTCAAGTTTAAGAATGGAACAAAAAAATCAGCAATTTTTTCATTTGTAAAGGGGCATAACTCTAGAACGGTGAAAGTGACGCCACCAAAATTCAAACAACATCTGTGTTTTGTGGTAATAAACATTGTGGTTAAGTTTCATAACATTTGGTTGAGGCAAACTAAAGTTAGAGAACGGAAACGAAAAAATCAGCAATTTTTCCATTTATAAAGGGGCATAACTCTCGAACGGTAAAAGTGATGCCACCAAAATTCAAACTCGATCTGTGTTTTGTGGTAATAAGCATTGTGGATAAGTTTCATAACATTTGGTTGAGGCAAACTAAAGTTAGAGAACGGAAACCAACTTTGGGACATACGTACGTACAGACGGACAAGGGTAAAACTTAATGCTCCCTCCACTACCGCGGGGGCATAAAACAAATAATCATCCGAACCAAAAAAAATTCATACTTGATCTGTAACTTGTCATGGTAAAACTATATACCAAATATCATATCAATATCTTCCAAGCATAACAAAAAAAGTGTGGAAAACTGATTATTTCCATGAATTTTCTAAGTCCAAGGACCATAATTCTGCACAAAGTCATCAGGCTGGAACAAAATTTAAACTTGATCTGTAACTGGTCATGATAATACAAAACAACAATTATCGAAAAAATATCTTCAAGCAGGAAGAAAAAAAGTGTGGAAAACTGATTTGCCAGGAAGGTTGGCAAATACTGGTCAATACTAGTATTGACCATGCCGGCGGTAAATACCGGCAAATACCGGCAAATACTGGCCAATACTGGCACATACTGGTCAATTGAAATTTTGATATGACTTTACTATAACAAGAGTGCACACGCTGAAATGTCTAGCCTTCTTTACTAACCATTGATTTTATGTTGATAGTCCTAAATACAAAGCTTTACTACAAGTAACACATAAACTTAACATGATCCAAGAAAATGAGGTCAAGGTCAGATAAACCAAACGAGAAATACATGTACACCTTAAAATCATTCAATAAACCAAACATAGTTGACCTATTGCTTATTGTTTCTAAGAAACAGTCTAAAATAAGAAAACTTAACATTGACCAATGAACCATGAAAAGGAGGTCAAGTTCAGATGAACCATGCCAGACAGACATGTACACCTTACAATCAATTTAGGCATTAAATATAGTTGACCTATTGCTTATTGTATCTAAGAAACAAACTTAACCATGAAAACTTAACATTGACCAATGAACCATGAAAATGAGGTCAAGGTCAGATGATACCTGCCAGACAGACATAAAAACCTTACAATCCTTCCATACATCAAATATAGTTGATCTTTTGTTTATAGTTGACGAAAAACAGACCAAAACACAAAAACTTAACACCGAGAAATGAACCGTGAAAATGAGGTCAAGGTCAAATAAAACCTGTGAGACTGACATGTACATCATAAAATATTTCCATACACCATTTATAGTTGACCTATTGCATATAGTATTAGAAAAAAAGACCAAAACTCAAAAACTTAACTTTGACCACTGAACCATGAAAATGAGGTCAAGGTCAGATGACACCTACCAGCTGGACATGTACACCTTACAATCATTCCATATACTAAATATAGTAGACCTACTGCTTATAGTATCTGATATATGGACTTGACCACGAAAACTTAACCTTGTTCACTGATCCATGAAATGAGGTCGAGGTCAAATGAAAATTGCCTGACGGGCATGAGGACCTTGCAAGGTACGCACATACTAATATCCTATTACTCATAATAAGAAAGAAATTAACATTACAAAACATGTTGACTTTTTTTCAAGTAGTCACTGAACCATAAAAATGAGGTCAAGGACAATGGACATATGACAGACTGAAACTTCGTAACATAAGGCATCTATATACAAAGTATGAAGCATCCAGGTCTTCTAGCTTCTAAAATATAAAGCTTTTAAGAAGTTAGCTAACGCCGCCGCCATCGTATCCGCCTCCGCCAGATCACTATCCCTATGTCGAGCTTTCTGCGACAAAAGTCGTAGGCTCGACAAAATCTAGTCCTTACCTCAGGTGAATTACTTGGTAAATGGATAGATATAGTCACAAGGCAGAAAGTCCCTTATTTACTATTGTACTAGGACAAAAAGTCACAATTAGTTAGTTCATGAACATGGTTTAATGAAGATTTATCAAATATTAATTTAATCATACAACAGATATAGTCATTAACACCATGAAGTTAGTCATTTAAAAGAGACTATATAACATCTGGTTTTCTTAACTGTTATTTTGAAAGATGCAATTAAAAAAATTTTAAAAATTGTTTTATATATATGTTATATATTTATTAAAAAAAAACCAATTTCCTGCATTTAGAAGATTTTTATCATGCTGTTGAACAGTCAGGAATTAATTCATTGTTTAAAACAATATTCATAAATCACTTTTATGACTTTTTTTTTTCCTGTTATGTCAACATTTATTAAGGGACAGTTGTTATAGTAATTAAACTTTTGACACCTGTTAGCCATATAATAGGTAATGCTCTGATAATCTATATTGCTAGTCACTTGTTATTCTATTTACCTGTAAAATTCAAATCTTTTCAAGAAAAAATAAAACTATCTTGATTTATACATGTTAAAATAACTGATATTGCAATTTTTTATGTATACCAAAAGTATGCAATATCACCCCTAAGAACTAAATTAGTCATTTTTAATGTTTTATTAATTAATAACATACCAATATCATTCATTTTTATAAACTGAATCATGTCAAAGGAAGTTTTCCCTCATCAACCAATTTTTTACTAAAATTGATAGATAAGTCAGTCATAAGAAGCATGAAAATTTCAATTGACCAGTATTTGCCAGTATTGACCACTTGGGGAGTATTGTCCAGGACGATAAATGCCGGTAAATACCACTGGTAAATACCGGGGGTGGTAAATACCGCCTAACCTTGTTTGCCGGACTGACGGATGGACAGACAGACAGAGGGACTGAGTGCAAACCTCAAGTCCCCTTCGACTTCATCGGTAGGAGACTTACAAAATGTAAATTCTTCTATTGTGTATTCTTTCAGATGTTGCCAGTGTTATGACGCTTGGTATCAGATGAAGACTATATAAAAAACTAAACGTAAATTCTTGTATCGTTTATTCTAGCAATGTCTGATATATATATATATTTTACTGGATTCCTGACATAAGACAAATATAGCACTCCCCAACAGTTGATGAATTAAGCCTACCACAATAAAACCAACATTTTATGATATATATACAATGATAAAATATATATTTCTACAATTGTGTAAAATAATTCTTTCTCAACATACATTATACATTTTATGTACATAGCACTGGACTATCAAAGCAATGAACAAGGCTTCAATAGAATCACTAACAATATCTATAATGTTTCATTTGGGATATGCCATTATTTGTGTAGTGGTGTTTGAACTAAGAAAATATGTCAGCTGTCTTTCCTTAATCAAAAAGGAGATGATAAATATCATTTGTATATCTTATTCGATACACTAAATAGTGGAATTCAATTTAATTAAGGAATGACCGTAATATTTTTTCTGTCTATGAAGAAATAACTTAAAAAATGTGGTGCACACTGAATAACTGGTGTAGCGGGTTATTTAAAAGTGTGCACCACATTTTTTACATTTATTTCGAATAGACAGAAAAAATATTACAGTCATTCCTTATAATTTAATTCTAAATTCCATTTTTAAAGAGTAAATTTTGAAAAAAACCTTGGTGACGTCAATTCACATGACAAAATTATGTCTATGAGCTGATAGACAAAACACTTTCAGCCAATCAGAAGACATGTTATATCCAAAATTAAATTATGATGAAATAATATTACATTCCCCCCTTAATTTAGAGCTATATTAATATGTGCCAATGAAACAACTGTGTATTAATTTATTTTCATGATTTTGAAGTAAAAGTTTTTTTGTGAGTATACCAGCCTATAGGAAGTTAGTAGTAGTTGAATACTAACAATTTTTAGGATTTGCCTTTAACCCTGAAATCCCTGCCATAACAGTAATATCAATCCATAAAAGTACTAAAACAATCGGATATTTAGAATAAGTCAATAATGAGGACATTATGTGGTTAATTTTAGACGATTCATAGTTTAAACTGACAACTTTCAACCAGGTCAGGTATTTTATTCAGGTAAGGCTGATAAATAATTTAGGGTTGGTTTTTTTCTTCACTATATTTATGTGAAATACATTTAAAACAGCTTTTACATTCAGATTTTTTGTTTGAAACTGGTTAAATAAATTTCTAATTTACAGTACAATAAAGAGAGTCAACCCCTGATGATTTTCATATGTGCCTGTAAAATTATATACATGGTAATGTCAAAACAAACTAGAAATCCATATACATGTAGCAAGTTCTGGTACCTAGCAACCAATCTACAACCATAAATTTACAATTCACACTTCATTTATGAATCACAACTGAAAATTCAAATATATACAGAAACCATACATAGAAAGGTACCCACTGGTCAGTAAAAACCATACAAATAAAGATACCCACTGGTCAGTAAAAACTATACAAATAAAGGTACCAACTGGTCAGTAAAAACCATGCAAATAAAGATACCCACTGGTCAGTTGAAACCATACAAATAAAGATACCCACTAGTCAGTTATACAGAAACCATACAAATAAAGATACCCACTGGTCATTTATACAGAAACCATACAAATAAAGATACCCACTGGTCAGTTGAGGCAAAAGAAAATATGAACAGATTTCAAACTGCAACATCAAAACAGAATAGTTCAATTTTCAAATAAAAATCTTAAAATTATTTTGTAATTTGTTAGTCTTCAAAAGTAAAATTTGTCTGATAATCTATTTTTAACATAAAAAAAAACAACATATGTACAGCTGAGTATGATGTTTTACACTGATATATTTCTAATTGATAATGTCATTTTTATTTCTCAAAGAAAACATTGTTTTTAAATGACATGTTTCCACATTGTAGTAACAGATGGGAAATTCTTTGCAATAATTTGACATATTGTAATGTCATGGAATTTTCTACTATCCCTACAGGAACAACTTTAAATATGCAAATAAGTGAAATCACAGTGGATACTGTATCTGTACAATAAAACCAAAGTGGATACTGTATCTGTACAGTGAAATCACAGTGGATACTGAATCTGTACAGTGAAATAAAAGTGGATACTGTATCTGTACAGTGAAATCGAAGTGGATACTGTATCTGTACAGTGAAATCACAGTGGATACTGTATCTGTACAGTGAAATCAAAGTGGATACTGTATCTGTACAGTGAAATCACAGTGGATACTGTATCTGTACAGTGAAATAAAAGTGGATACTGTATCTCTACAGTGAAATATAAAATGCTTCGCTGAGTGCAGCCTGATACGACCGCAGAGGTCGAACCCTGAACAGTTTGGGCAAATTTGAACACAATATTCAAGCTTGATACTGTCTGAATTTGGATTGTGATCAAATTTTTGACATAATATAGGTTTCTGACACAAAATAAATGTGGTCAAAGATCTTACAAATCTATTGCACAATACTGTGCAATTGAAGTTTTCTTCTTGAAACTTTTAAAAAATTCGAAATTTGAAAAATTATGAATCCCTTAAAAAAATTGGGGAAAAAAATCCCCCCCCCCCCCCAACTTTTTGAAACCCCCCTTGGAGAAATAACCCCAAAACTCAATCCCAGCCTTTCCTTTGTAGTATGGAACATTGTGGTACAATTTCAGAGAGATCCATACACTGAAACACAAGTTATTGTCTGGAAACTAGAAAAATGCTTGTTTTTAGCCCTTTTTTGGCCCCTAATTCCTACATGTTTGGGGCAATTAACCCCAAACTCAATCACAGCCTTCCCTTTGTTATATGGAACCTTGTGGTACAATGTCAGAGAGATATCCATACACTTACACACAAGTTATTGTCTGGAAACTAGAAAAATGCTTGTTTTTGGCCCCTTTTTGGCCCTTAATTCCTAAACTGTTGGCCCCATAACCCCTAAAATGAATCCCAACCTTCTACTTGTGGTATTAAACATTGTGGTACAATTTCAGAGCAATCGAAATACTTGTACACAAGTTATTATCCTGAAACTAGAAAAATGCTTGTTTTGGGACCCTTTTGGGCCCCTAATTCCTAAACGGTTGGGACCATCATCCCCAAAATCAATCCCAACCTTCCTTTTGTGGTATTGAACCTTCTTAAAAAATTTCATAGAGATCCATTCACTTAAATTAAAGTTATTGTCCGGAAACCAATGTGTCTTCAGACAATGACGCAGACGACATCATACCATTATACGATCCCAAAATATTTTTTGCGGTCGTATAAAAAGTAGAAACTGTATCTGTAGAGTAAAATCACAGTGGATACTGTATCTGTACAGTGAAATAAAAGTAGATACTGTATCTGTACAGTGAAATCAAAGTGGATACTGTATCTGTACAGTATAATCAGTGGATACTGTATCTGTACAGTGAAATCACAGTGGATACTGAATCTTTTAAGTGAAATCAGTGGATACTGTATCTGTACAGTGAAATCACAGTGGATACTGAATCTGTACAGTGAAACCAGAGGATCCTGTATCTGTACAGTGAAATTGAGCATTAAATTCATATGAATCAATAGCTGCACTAACATCAATTAAATAAAAACAAGTTATTATCCTGAAACTAGAAAAATGCTTGTTTTGGGACCCTTTTGGGCCCCTAATTCCTAAACGGTTGGGACCATCATCCCCAAAATCAATCCCAACCTTCCTTTTGTGGTATTGAACCTTCTTAAAAAATTTCATAGAGATCCATTCACTTAAATTAAAGTTATTGTCCGGAAACCAATGTGTCTTCAGACAATGACGCAGACGACATCATACCATTATACGATCCCAAAATATTTTTTGCGGTCGTATAAAAAGTAGAAACTGTATCTGTAGAGTAAAATCACAGTGGATACTGTATCTGTACAGTGAAATAAAAGTAGATACTGTATCTGTACAGTGAAATCAAAGTGGATACTGTATCTGTACAGTATAATCAGTGGATACTGTATCTGTACAGTGAAATCACAGTGGATACTGAATCTTTTAAGTGAAATCAGTGGATACTGTATCTGTACAGTGAAATCACAGTGGATACTGAATCTGTACAGTGAAACCAGAGGATCCTGTATCTGTACAGTGAAATTGAGCATTAAATTCATATGAATCAATAGCTGCACTAACATCAATTAAATAAAAACATACACAAAGTTATATGTCGATTAGGTACGATTTTCAGTTTTTCTTTGATATAGATTTGTCTAAGCATGCAACCGCTGGATTTTTTCAGACATCTGTTACAATCTATTCATTTAAAAAAAACTAATATATACATTATTATAAATTTACTTTTAATTAATTGTCTATTCAAAAATTAAAACTGTTCACATTTTTTAAAAAAGCACTTATAAAACATGAGTCAATCACAAATTGACATATCAAAGTTGTAGTTGAAACAACATGAAAAAAAACAATAGAAGGAAAAACAGAACAAATATCATAGTGACAGATGTCTTGATAGATTGCCTCTCTTGATACTAAAAAGTGAACTTATGAGACATTTTGTGCCTAAAAAACACTCAATTATATTACATACATCAGGAAAACTGCAATTGTGTGCAATGGTGATCCAAATATAGGCCTATCAAGACAAGTCCCTCTGTTTTTTTTGTTTTTTTTACTATTTTCACAAATTTACAGGTCTTCCTTCAATGTAAACCAACAAGCTTAGAATGTTATCTGTTCTTCAAAATATTAACTTTATAAGAGTCTTTCATCACAATTAGCAATTTGTTTTCTCCCATCACATTTTCATCAACACTGTTATTTACCTATATCACTTCTGATCAATGCCATCAACAATAAAACAAATAAACAAATCCTTGCATACAATACATATTACCCAAGCACTTTATAATCATATCACAGTATTATACATAAAATAAGAAACATTAGTTATCTACACATAACTAAGTTACCTGGGGGAGACAATACAAATCCATCTGTAGATTCGGATGATCATTCCCTTGATTTTACATATCCGTACATATCAAAATTTACAAATTATCAATAGCCATAGCTATTGAATTTTAAACAATTAACTATGGGAGTGCTTTGTACATTCTTTCTAGAAATAGAATTTTTGATATAAATAAAACTTTATTGAGGAGTGTAATATAAAGGGATGTAAAAATGGTGGCACAAAATCTGGTTTTGATATTCTAAACATGTAACATGGAAAATATCTGAACAGGGTACCAGTCAGGCCAGTTCTGACAAAATTGTGTAATTATGTTCAAAGTTAAAAAAATAGCCATTTACTCATTGCAACAAATAGTATTTACATAATATAACAATAGGGACTACATTTTGCCAATGTGTATGATTCAATGAATTTACTAGATCCTCTTTTTCAACATATGATATATGTAAAATTAGACACTAGGGATAAAAATTGGAATCAAAAGTAGTAAGAGATTTAGCTCATCATCACAAAAAAAAAACAAACAAATATATTGTGCAAGATCTTTACATAATTTTACACTGACAGTAGGAAAATAATTTTTTGTAGATATTATAAATGCTTTTAAATGCCTAATGTCTGCAAATGGCTGATAATGTAGGTTTAGGTTTCCACAATAGGTGGCCTCCTATACATTTAAAACCTCTGATTTGGTGATTTCTTTTTCACAATACATAAGCTGTCTCCATGGTGTTAAGTTGACATAATGGTGTAGATAAACTCATCATAGATAACAGGACTAAAATTTTGTACTCAGACTAGCGTTTCGTTTTCATTCAAAAGACTCATCAGTGACGCTTGAATCAAAAAAGTTAAAAAGGCCAAAAAAATATCAAGTAGATATGTACTTTGTGTAGATATTTACAATGTAATTCCTATTAGGATAGTCATATAGCTTAGTGGATTTGGAAAATCATTTAACTTCTTATACATGATAAAGAAGTATAGCCATAGGTAATATAAAATCACCTTAATGCTGGGTATCATGGAAGTTCTAAGCATAAGTGAAATTAAATAGAAAATAAATATCCAAATTGTTGTTAAATCTACAGGGAAAATATCTGCCTAAAAAAGTTCTATCTCTGACTGAACTAAAAAGAGAAACCAAAGAGACATCTTTGAGAAGAGAGGTAAAACAAACCTGTTTGAATTTTTTCATGTAAAAGAATAACGTGCAAACAGGTGTAATAGATCTAGGCTATAATGCCTCACTAACTTATCATGGACAAAGGACAAATTAAAATATTCTCAACATAAAACAATCTAAATCCTTATATATCATATGCAGAAAAAATGAACAAAGTAAAGTAAGGGTACAGTATAATGAAACCAATATCAATGTGGATAAGAAATACCATCTTGAACATTCAACATGACTGCTTACATCTAGTCTGCCATAACAAAGTACAAATACCTATAAATGTTACATATAAAACTATAAACATTACAAAACCTTTTGAGGACATAATTACATCTGAATGAAAGTGTCATCTGCCAATAAATGTTTTAATTTCATGGCCTCAAACAAGACAAACAGGACTACTTTAAAATATGTCGAGAATCATTGAGACAAATTGAAATTAAGAAGGTTGTCACTCATTTAGAGGTATTTTGAGAAATGTTTTGTGTTTTTGATATAAAGTTTTATCACTGAAAGAAAGGATTATTATTTTTACTCATTTTGCTTTTAAGTTTAAACAGTAGTGAATTTTGAGCCTTACAAATTGATTTTTTGTGAAAGGAGATGAAATGCAATCCCCTTTTTTTCCTGAATAAGCTACTCTGGAAAAATTTCACAGTGGATCATTCAAAACTCTATATTACTGCCAAATTAAGTAAGCCATCACTTATCAGAAACAACATTGTACATATTCAAAAAACAGCAGCATAATAATATCCTGTTAAGTAAAAAATTACATTCACTAGGCCTACAAATTGATTGGTACCTTGAGGGGGCAGAGTATGATCTGAAAATTAAAGTACAAAAGTAACTTGTACTACTAGTCGACTTTGAACTTTATACACAAACTGCAATGATTGAACAGCAGACATTATTCTTTCTTTCTTTAGAAATTACCTAATAATTAAGAAAAAAATATCAGTTTACATGCCATTTTTGTTTTCTGCAGGACTTAATTTTTAGTCAAAGAATCGGGTATAATAACCATTACCATTTCATAACAATATAATTCAACTACAAACATAAACAATTTCAGCTGAACTGCAATCTGCAGGTGGTCTTATCACACAGGTTAGGTGGACATAATAAAACTAGAATTGTAACTGAAAAAATGAGGGGAAATGATGAATGTTTTATACAAGACCATCATGATACAGCCCAAATTGTAACCACACTGGGTCAAAGCCAGTCTTCATGTCAATCAAGTGTGACCGATACTGTTCCAATAAATGACACATATGTGGTTCTCAAGTATTCGTTGGGCTTTCTAACATTTCCATTAGGAACGTGTCTATTGGTGTATCACCAATCAATTTAAAGAAAAACAAATGTTCCAGGCACTTTAGTCCAATACTTCGTAAGGCAGGTAGTCTGAGCAGTAACTTGGCAAATCGTCCTGGTTCCTCTGGATATCGGGTTTTACAGTATTCCTCCAATGAAGCATAAACTTTCTCACGCAACTGTTCCACTTCATGAGTAGCAGTAAGTCCTTTAGCATCTATTAAACATAAATTTTTAATTTTTTAAAAATATTTCACTTTTAAAGTGTGTAAAACATATAGAAATAGAAATAGCTGGAGTAACTTATCATAAATTTGTAAGTTTCAGTAGGTAACAAAGCGTTTGGGCACCGAGGAGGTGAATATTGCTGTCCACCTGTATTCTCTTAACAGAGAAACATATTCGTTATATTTTGAATTGAGTTATTTCCCTTTGTCCATCCAATAGAAGTTAGAACAGAGATTCGTGTAATTTTCTTATAAAATGGTTGGCTCGACTATTATGGTAATATACACTATTTTGCAAACCTGATATTCAAGCATATATTTTTCATAAATCACTTGACATGGGCATAAATAGGTTTTAACTAAAGAATGTTCTCCTGACTGCACTTTGTTCTTTGTACAAACAAAACATGTTAGAGAAAGGTGAAAATCATAGCTAACCATCCAGTTACTATAGGAATTTGATTGCCCCAAAATGAAATAAAACTTTACAATCAATTTTCTTTGTTCTTATAACACAGTGATAATACACCACCCATGATATTCTTATAGAAATATTTATCCACATTTAATGCAAAAAGAAAATAGCAATTATTTCTTTACCACATTTTGGAAATATGTGTAGCTATACGAGTATTTACTTTACATGAAGAAAATCACATTCTGCTGTAATTCAGACATGTTCTTTTTAAACATGGCACAGAATATTTCTCTTCCTATGATTAGTCAAATTCTTTGTCCATGTACATTGCTTCAAATTAGTTCAGGCTTTTAGTCTGGATAACTGGGGGAACTTGAGGGTATTTTAAGTAACTAACTGTTAACAGACTCATTAAAGTGGATACTTAATTTTTCATTGCACCCTTTCCAGTTGACTTCACAGCTATTTGTTCTTTTGCAACATTTTAATTTTCTTGATGTTTTTATAAAAGGGAAAACCGAAGTTTTACATATTCTAGGCGATTTGTATAACCGTTATTCTTCTATTCACGGATATAAATCCCTAGAAGAATTTAGTTGGTTTTCAGTATCCTTAAAATTGGATTAAAAGAGAAAATTCATAAATTTTTATGGGGTATGGGATCTTGTCCCCTGAAGACCACAATGTCTCCAACCTTTGAGTTAAGTTGGCCCTATTATCACACCCCCTTTATAAGTTTTGTATAAAAACTGTGTAATACCTGGGTTGTACAGGACTATAGCCCTTAGACAGCCAACTTCTGTCTTGTCCATTTTCATTTCTCTCATTTTGGCCACTAATTCTGTGAGGACTCTATCAAATATGGTTCCTACTCCCGCCTGGTGAGCACTACTTCTATGTACATGTAAACCTGTAGCCAGTAATATACCATCCTTAACTACAGTAGATCGGTGGGAAAATGCAGCGATTAACAATTCATTCCAGCCTACAATGAGACAAAATAAATAAACATCAAAATGTTCCTACGTACAAATGGACAAAATAAAAACTAGAAATTCACATTTTGTTTCATCTTACAAAAAATACAATAAACAAACATTAGCTATTTCTTAATTTGAAATCATAATTAAAGACATCTATATGGCTAGACTTTATTTGTCACAGCCAATTTAAACCTTGTTATATGCATCAGTTTAAAAAATATGTATCAAGAAAAATCTCTTCAACCTTAAAAACTCATTTGTATATACATATGTATAATAGTTCTAATAAAATTGGGTTTTTTTATTTTGTTTATTTGTTGTTGTTTTTTTTTTTTGTGGGGAGGGGGTTGAATTTTATAAAGTGCAGATCAGTATTTCCTGGATATTATATTTTATTTTTATTTATCTTTTTTTTCCAAAGCAAACTTAATTTTTAAATACTATGACAATCACAAATTTGTTGATTGAAGCTTCCCATAAAATCAACCAAACTCCATAAATAAACCATAGTACAACTACACTTGTATTTGTGAATTCACAAATCATTTTGATTAATCACGGAGTTCAGTCGGAATTTTAAGCATGCTAGTTTGCAAGGTAATAGTCAGCAGGAAGACAGATCACCCTACCTGGACACATAACTCTGACTTTGAGCAGACCTGTCTTTGCTCTAACTCCTAAATTATGTGTGCTTAGCCGAAAAGTAGCAAATAGAAATTCTGAAGTCATTGGTTTGACCTGGCCAGGTATTGAGCCCACAATCTCCCACACTCGAGTCAAGCATGCTATCATCAGACTTCTAAGGCATTGTGTACATAGATGGTCTACCTCACAAATATATTTGGCAGCCCACACTAAGGGTAAAATATATTTGTATTTTTATGCATTTTTATAAAATATATTCTTATATAAAAGATGAATATTCTTTCTGTAATTGTTCACCCATTTAGACCGGTTTTTTTTCTAGTTTGATAAATCTTTTTATTATCAAAAAGCATAATTATGTTATCTAAATTTTTGTAAGTTGTCTTTTCAAGTAAAGATTGCCCCTCCCATTTATCTTGATTATTATTGATGGAGGCAGTGTAATGGTAGAAGGTATACCAGCTCTCAGCAGTATCACTTGATCCTCCAATGGTAGTTCTACAAAGTGTGGAATTCTCTTGGCCCATTCTACTAATGTAATCAGCTGTTTGTCTGCAGCCTGACATATGTTGGTAACAGCATCTTTCTGCAATCAAATTTAAAACATCATATATATTTTTGTTTGGATGCTCTCAAAAGTTCTTTATATATTATATATGGAGCCATATAACCAGGTTGGAATCTTCCATTTTTGAAAAAAAAAATAAGAGATTTTTATCAGTCAATATTTTGATGTCTTTTAAGGGTGTGTCAGGTGTTATAACATGAACTATGTGTGTTGTCATTCAGTCTTGTCAAGGAGTTAATTATTCATAAACCATATGTTGTCATATCTAATATTGTTTTTATAGTAGTAACAAAATGGCAAATTTATTAAACAGCCATGAAGTCACAAAATTTATTCATATTCCAATTCCTCTGTTTAAAGACAAAGTTATGATACACTATTATTTTAGAACAGGCGGATTTTTGCTTTTCTCCTCTGTTCAAAGTGGGAGGGGAATAAAGTGGAAATAACTCTGGCATGTTCAATGAGAACTTTTTATAGTAGACATCATTAAACACATATTAACAGCTTTATGGAAAAAAAAATTTCATCTGAGTAATATATCCTTAGAAACATTCCCAGTGTTTGCTGTTATAAATTAACACTCATGAATTAAGTTTTAATATGAAATTCATTATCCCATCCCTGTATGCACTAACATTCAGAAATCACACATTTTCAAGTACATTTACTATTTAAGTAAAAGTCTATTAGCACCTTTGTTTTCCAGAGAACTTTTTAAAAAGTCATCACAAATAAAGTCAATGCCCTTCATCAAGTGTAAAATGCCTTTTTCCAATGTCATCTAAGTCAATTATTAATCATACTATTATGACTGTAATGTCATCTAAGTCAATTATTAATCATACTATTATGACTGTAATGTCATCTAAGTCAATTATTAATCATACTGTTATGACTGTAATGTCATCTAAGTCAATTATTAATCATACTGTTATGACTGTAATGTCATCTAAGTCAATTATTAATCATACTATTATGACTGTAATGTCATCTAAGTCAATTATTAATCATACTATTATGACTGTAATGTCATCTAAGTCAATTATTAATCATACTGTTATGACTGTAATGTCATCTAAGTCAATTATTAATCATACTATTATGACTGTAATGTCATCTAAGTCAATTATTAATCATACTATTATGACTGTAATGTCATCTAAGTCAATTATTAATCATACTGTTATGACTGTAATGTCATCTAAGTCAATTATTAATCATACTATTATGACTGTAATGTCATCTAAGTCAATTATTAATCATACTATTATGACTGTATATTGTATGCTTTTACTTCATACTTTATTTGGTCTTTCTAATGTTTTTGATTCAAGTCACTGCAGGGCATGAAGAATTTTTTGGCAGGCCACTTACCCAAGGGAAAGTGATAAAAAAAAATTCACTTTCCCGTGTGTAAATCCACTATAACCGGTTGAGACCCGCAAAGAGGGGTGAATTTGCTAGGGGGGGTTTGGGGGCATGCCCCCCCAAGAAAATTTTGAAATTTTAAGATGCAAAATCCTGCATTCTGAGCATACTTTTAAGAGTTTAACATTTTCTGAGCATCCGCAATATTTACAAACTGGTCACTTTCCCGTGTAATAATTTACTTTCCACAGGAAAGGGGAAATGGTAATCTTCATGCCCTGAAGTGTCACTGATAAGTCTTTTGTAGACAATGCATGGCGTAGAAAATTATATGCCAGATATCTTAGATGAGTTTTTGAACAATTCCAACTCATCTGAGTATCATTAAAGGATATAAACTAAGTTTTCTTTTCAATTATTTTTTTTTACTTCCCACTTCTTGCATGAACTATACCAACACACCTGAGTATCAATATATGTATCAGTATTGGGATCAACGGCTAGCTCTGCCTCTAAGATCTTTTCTACTGGCATATCATTGTTAGCTCCACTAGTACTTTCTACTTCTCCCTCCCCTTTTTCTTTATTTCTTTGCCTTTCTTCCTGAACAGCTGGAAAATAAATAATTCATTTTAAATGTAAGGCCCACTAATTAATGATTCTCTTCAAACATTCAAATAAATCGTTAAACCTCTAAGTTTTCTCATTTCCATCTGCAAATAAAAAAAACAAATTAGATCTAAATTCTTGATTTCTGTGAGTATAAAAAATTAAGTTGCTCAAGCTTCATCAAACATTAGAATTGAAAGGAGAATTCATTTTTGTTTTTTTCATGAAAATATTTCAGTATTGAAGAGAGCTATCACTTTCTCCCTCAAATGAAAATACAGACAAATATACATGAGCTGCGTCGGATAGAAATCGACCTTATGCAACAAATATCAATACATCTGTTATCCTATTTCGGGTTGGAAAAATCTCTTTGCAAAGTCTGTAACTCTTTGAAAATTGAGTTGTTATAACAAACCTACAAAACAAATTAAAATTTATCTTTCATTTCGTATTTGAATGTTCCAAAATGAATCAAAGTCTTATACATGTACATGCACATAAGGTCGATTTCTATCCGACGCAGCTCACATGTAAATTAATGAAAGACATTCAGATTTGTTTTCCATAAAAAGATTTTTTTTCAGAAAACAAGGAACTACCGGTATGTTTTTTCATACAAAATTGAAAGGAAAGATAAAACTTGTGCATTCAAAAACATAAATACAGCATAGCAGCATTATCATACTTAAATAAATTAAAAATAGAAAATTTATACCCTTCAAAGAATGATCCCCAAAGAAACAGAAATTGTCCACTTTGACAATCAGAAGATAGGATTCAATACCCATGATACCATAGTTAATAATTCTAAATCCCCTTGGCTAGGTTTTCAAAATTCTACCTGTTAGTATGGTGTCACGTATGCTTATTTTTGAATCTGTATTAAGTTTCACCATAAATATTTCCATAAATACAGAACTTTTTACCCATGTTACCTACAGTTAAAAAAATTATAACTCAGTTACCACCTTTTGACCCATTAATTGCTTCCAGTAACATGAATTAATTTTTTTTTTTTCAAATTTTCTACCTGTGTACTTGATGTGTTACAAGTAAAATCAGCATCAACAACATAAGATGTTTTCTGTGATATCAGTAGGGTTTTATTTTTAACTTCAATGTTTCTTTTTTTGAAAAATGTCTTCATGGCTCAATAATTAAGGGAGTTTTTAATTTTATTTGCATAGCTCCATATTGCCTGTCATGAAAGTAAGAGCTTGGTGAATACTGCATGTTTTTACACGCCACACTGAAGCAAGATAGTTACATTGTTCGTCAAATGTTTGAATACTCTAGAAAATATTTTGAATCTCTTTTTTCAAAATCATGACAACTGACCAATACCAAAACTTCAAAATGTTTAACTTTGTAACCATGGTAACAAATTGAACAGAACTATAAAAATAAAAGCAACAATAATTATTACTATCTTCCTCCGAGTCGTCCTCATCCAGATAATACTGATAGAGTTCTGCGTCGACCTCTGAAAGTAAACAAATTGTATGGTTCTTCCTTTTTACTGAACCCAGAAATTGCTTGCTTGCTTGTTTTGGTATTTACATGCAGTAAATTAAAAAATGAATGATAGTGTATGTTTATTATTTTGTGAAAATACAATATTTGTAATTTGAATAAAAGCTTCTTTATGCATTTTAGACTCTGATTTGTCCATCATGTTGACTTAAGTTCAAACAAAGCTTACAATGTCCTTTTTAGAAGTTTTAAAAAAATTGAAAAAAACCTTTTATCAAGAAAAAAAAACTCAACACTTCAACACTGAATATACATGAACATAAATTTGTTTTATATAGAGCAGCATGGTTAATTAATTTTCATGTTGAAGCCTTAAGTAAGACTAGAAAATCAATTTAGAATAACTTTCTGTAGACACTAGTCATGACATTATAGCATAAAGTTGGATTTGTAGAAGAAACTCATTTTTTAGTCTGGTAGTTATTTTTGGAGTTTTTGTGATGCAAAGTCAGTTCTGTAGATGCTTAACAATGGGAAATATGTATTGTGATCTTGACATTTGAGGGCCTTGTTCTTCCCAATGGACATTCTCAAGCAAAGTTAGTTGAATGTTGGACATATGATTCAACAGATATAACCTTAAAGTCAACACTTTAACCCTATTTGAGACTATCAATTGGTTATGTGACCTTGACCTTACTGACCCAAAATCAATATAGGTCTTTTTCATCCAATGGGACATAACTGATGTTTGGTTAAAATCTGCTTGCTTTTTTTTTACCAATCCAAGTTTTACTTATGTTAGTTTTTCAGCTTTTAATAATCTTGTTTATTATGGAAACTTCAAGTGTGTGTTAATTTTCTAATATTTAGAGGTAACCAATTTGATTTTCTTTTTTTTTAATGTTATCATCAATTGCACATAAAGACTTCTTTTACACTTTGTATGTTTTTAGACATATAAATATAAAATCATTAGAGAAAGAAAGCAGACAATATATATCCTACCAGTCACATCTCTGACATCTCGTTTCATAATAACATTTTAGTAATCTAATTAATAAGTTGGTGTATTCTCAGATTTGAAATCAATATTTACAATTGACAATATAAATAATTCTGTTATCGATATTGATTATACTGGACTATGACAGCTGAATGAATATTTCTACAAACAAATACAAATCAAAAACCTAATTAACAATATACAACACTGGCAGAGATGCTTCGTCTTCATTACATCGAGAAATTTACAGCTTTTAAAGATCAATTACATCTTTTCTGTGCAGAACTAAAAAAAAATGGAAAAAATCGTTAATTTCTTCCTTAAAAAAACTAAGAAACAAATACAGTGAACTATTAAGTGAACAATCAATGATAAGAGTTAGCAAGCTTTGATCTCTACAGAATAGTACACATTGTCTTGCCAAGTTGATCTAATTATAAAAGCAATGCTACATGCCAATCAATTAGCATGCAATCGTAAACTTTTTAAAATTCAATTCCAAATTCATTTCATTTCACTTATAAAAGAAACAAAATCAAAATTTCTTTATTTAAACAGAAAATTCTGATGATTGAACTTGATTTGTAATTTTCATCCTAGTGGAATGTCAAATTTGTCCATCTTAGTTAAATGTCAAACAGTGTAATAATAAACAATAAAGTTAGAAGAGACACAATTGTTATACACAGGAGGGACAGAAAGTCTAGAGGTTTGACTTCACAAACAGTGAAACCTGTAATTGATTATCAAAGCTTGCTATTCTTATTTCAAATCTTGCTTTTATCCTTCCCTATCTCCTGCTAAATCCCTTGATATTATATGGTACGGTTAGAATCCAATTGACAGTGAAAGAGTATTACAAATCTTTGTTTTTTTCATTTTCTTTAACAAACTGATTCCTTTATTCCCACCCAACTGAAAATTAGCAGCTGGTCATTCTAACCAAAGAGAACAAGGAAACTTCAAAGACAAAAGTCTTAATACATTCACTTATTCTCTGAAATTGAAATGAGGACTAAAAAAATTACCAAGTTATAAATCTAAATCTGAATAACATGAAATGTATCAAAATTGTGAGTGTACACCATTTACAAGCAGTACACTATTAAGTAATTAATCAAAAGCTGTAATTATTTTTTTTTACCATCAAATATTTGGAAAGAATAAAAATGTATTTCATCAATGTACATGTAGTCCATGTAGTCGGAAGACGACTGTAAACAACAGTAAAAATAATAATTAATTTACTTAATTAATGACTGAAATAAAGCATGACCTATTTGATTAAATTGTTAATCACAAAAATAGCCACATATGAGGAGGTAAATAAAAGACCATCTTGATAATCAAATTAGGAAACACTGATTGAGTTGTCATGGTAACCCTTTCCCAGATGTAAAAAAAATCCAGAAAATGTTAAAAAGTCTAACTTCTTAATGAAGCAGATATACAAAATAATTTGAATCTAGATATGTGTGGATTGATTTCTGATTAAAAGGGTTACCCAAGAAATCTAATATAACTAGCAATAGAAAATATTTCACTCTCAAATGCTTTCTAATGAGCTATTTATTATATACACAATTTTTGTACAATATATGAAACAGTAAAGAGTATCTAATTCTTCCTTATAAACTCACTTATTAAAAGGAAATATTGTCATGAAATTAACTACGTCGACTTTTTTTATACAAAGAGTTTTTCCATTCTAAAAATTTACATACATGTAATACTATTTATAAAATATTTTTTGAATTGATTTGATATTCTAATTTCTATAAAAATTCTAGAAGTCTGCATGATATATCATGTATATGTATACATTAAAAAGAAATATTGAATTTATAAATGTTCTATTAATAAACTTAAGTGTATAGAAAACATTCTACATGCATGTTTTTAAGCTACATTTGTAGTTAAATATGTATAATGTACTTCAACATTTTGAAGAAAAAAATTAAATTGTACTAAAACAAAACTTATTGGATAATTTTCACTGATATTCAATTTTGGTTTTCAAGGCAAAGCAATCTAAAAGCCAAGCCTGAGGCAGGTATAGGAATAACTAAATACTCGATACTATTTGCAGACCATGCCATTTTTGTGTGAAATATTTAGATTTATTGGTCCTATTTACCACCCCATGATGATCCGCTGTTATCTGCAGGAGGAGCAACACTTTTCACATCTGTAAATGATAAACAGTATTCTGAATGCTAACAATATACAACATTTGGACCACTGTGAACTTGTGCATGAGTCAATAATTCATCAACTGACAACAGTAAATCCTCGTTTCAGCTTGTGATTTTAATTTGCTTTATCACTAATTTCTTCCCTAATCAATCTGTTTAATCATTCTTATTAATCAAACTTGAAGTTTTGCTGGTTTGATAATTTTTCATTTTCTCTGACCAACTATACCTGAAGACTGTCAAGCTACAAGTACATGTACCTGGACAATTATCCTCCTGAGCTCCGTTCTATATGCATCAGTTCACTTACATTTATCAATCATTTATTTCAGTAACTGACTGTCTTATCTTTTAACATGAATGTGATGGAATGAAGCATTCCAGGAAGTGTTCAGCATCATCAACCACAAGTTTCATGGAAATATTTTTAAGTATATATGTCATCAATAATTTAAACTTGATTGATTTGACAGGAAATTTGAATATAAAGAAAACTGATCTGTCAGAATAATGTCAATTTCATATAAAAAGACATATGCATGCACACATCTGTTTTCGTTAAAAAAAAACACAAAGAAAAACTACAGTTAATATCAATTACATCTTATAAACAGCAAATAACTGTCACAAATTGATTTTTCCAAAGGCATTTACATCAAAAACATTGCTGAGCTTTCTCAAAATCAATTTAAATTTCTAACTTTCTGAACTGAAACAAATCAATTATGTTTTCTTTTAGTTTCTGAAATGTAACATTTATTGAATAAAATCAAGCCTAGGCAGAAAACAAGCATTAAACCAGGACAATTAATCATTTTTAATCGTATAAATGTGCATATATTATTGTGTCTATATATATTTTGCGTATACAACATTGTAGAGAACGTTTTAAAAGGTATCTTTGTCTAGATCTGCACAATTACTGAAATCCAGGATATCAATATGAATTGACTCTTGGTAAATGTATGTCAATGTATGTGCATCATGTGAGGTGGAAAAAATGACATTTTCTTTTATCGGACAGGGGATAAACCAAAAGCTGTAAAAGTTAACTTAAAAGTCAAAGGAGCTGTCATCCATATAAATTTGTACACTGTTTATCTAGTGTACATGTAGATCACCGTTTCTTTAGTTTCACAATTGTGCAATGCATGCATGTTCATTTGTTTCACACATTGTGTGTTCATTTGAAATTGTATCACACATGTATGTTCATTTGTACCACATCGCACACTGCTTCAACTCTTCAGTAAAATTAATTCCAATGAAACAGAACAATTCTAATCATCTTTTTTCTTTTCTTCTGATCTGTTTTGTCCTCAGGTTTTCAGATTTAATTTTAGGTAAAATCCAAAATAAATTAATGCAGATCTAGAAACCAAAAATTCCAATGTGACAGCAACCCAAGTTCACAGGTGAATTAAACAATAAACAGGCCTTCAAGGTCATTAAAAAATTCAAAAGGGTTTACTGACCAACTTCTTTGCCTACTGCATTAAACTTGCATTTTTTAACATAAGATTTTTTTAAATGAAACTGTTGGTAATTCAATATATGCACAAGTTTATATATATGTGGGTAAACTTTTAGCAAATGAAGTGTTCTAACACACATTTTCATTTTACTGGTTACACAACCAGTTATCTCAGGACAACATACTGTGTGACTATCTTTAATCTTTGAAAAATATTGGATCATGTCAAAATTTTCAGGTGTACCAAAGCTGAAGCACTTTAGTAGCCCTGCGCAAAATTTGATAAAATAACATGAAATGTGTACATAAACAGTTATTTCAGTTTATGTTTGATACTAAGTCCTAAGTAATTTTAATCAAAATCAATTTTAAAGTAATAGCGTTCAAATATAAACAATAATGACAGTGCTACAGAAAATGTTGAGGAATTTACCTTCTCGCTTCATTCCCATGGTTAAACATTTCATGTAGCGGCAGTACTGACATCGGTTTCGCTGTCGTTTATCGATGATACAATTTCTGTCATCTCGGCAGGCATATGTCAGATCTTTCCTCACTGTTCTTTTGAAAAATCCTTTACAACCTTCACAACTGTAAATGTAAAAAATACAGAACTTGTTAAAGTCCAACATATTTCTGAAGATTAAAAAAATAAAAATATGTGGTTATCTCATACATATGTGTTATTGGTCCATACATATGTGGTCCATCAGATTAAACAAGTTCTTTGGCTTTCTTTTACAAATGACACAAACTGTACATGTATTTTACTAAAGTGTGTATACTACTGATCTATATCAGTTCTGAAAAAGAATTTTCTTAATTGTAGACATATATGTGAGAAAGCCACAGGTCAGATGTTTTCAAATGGGAACAATAACAGCTACTTTTTCAGCACACACATCTGAAATACTAATGTAAAAACTCTTTAAATTAGTGGATCAAAGGAGCCTGAAAAGCAAAATAACAACAAACCTGGTTTTTATTATATTTATTAATATTAGTCAATTTTGTTTCATTGTAAAAGCAATGAAGGAGCATAACACCTGAACAGAAAAGGTGAAAATCGTCCATTTAGTTTTTGACCTCAATTTTGTCATCAGCAACAACATATATATATATATATATATATATATATATATATATATATACTAAAATTTAAAAAGTATTGGTTGAACCGTTTATAAGTTATTGAATAGAAACAACTGGAGCCGCCCCCAGGCCTGTTGTACAAACCAAAATCAATAACCAGATGTCCATTGGAAAACTGATTATAAACCATATATTTTGCATGTCAGACATACACGTTGTATAATATTTGAATGCACTATGCACCAATGTTTACCCCAGGCATGCTTAGCATGGATAGACGCCATGCCCTTTTTCTGTCCTAATAAATTACGCCATGCTCCCTTTTCACTTCTTTGAATGATGCCATGGTCTCGTAAATGATTGAATACATGAAAGTGGATGTTTAAAGTCCAGAATTGGCTTGGGTGTGTTTCTCTACTTATTTCTTCTTTATTATTTTCACTTGATGATATTTATTTCAATATCATAATTCTCCTCAACCTTAATTGAACGATTAAAAGATTAAAAGATGGATTCATATGGTGATCCAAATCTTTCAACAATGTAAACTAGTTAAAATTATCGTACTTATTTGAACAAAAAATTTGTAAGCATTTCTAAGTACCGCCGATTATTAATTTCACCTTTATTATAAATCGACATCCTTTTACTTTGTTTAATAAACATAAATTGCTTCGCCGAACGCAGCTGGATACGACCGCAGAGGTCCAACCCTGAAAAATGGACACAATATTCGCGCTTGAGACATGTCTGAATTTGGATTGTAATTAAATATTTGACACATAATAGGTTTCTGACACAGAATAACTGTAGTCAAAGAACTTAGAATTGGTTATATGATTTGGATCTATATTCAATTTTTTGCTTTTGTGCAATACACTATGCTGTTGCGAATTGACCCCCCCCCCCCAAAAAAACAACTTTTTTTGCACCTCCCCCCCCCCCTTCCCCCCTTTTTCCCCCCAAAAAAAATTCTTTCCCTCAAGATATGGTCATGATCTCAATTCAAATTTCCAATGGAGTTTGCAACCATAATTACCCATTTAAATACATCATAAAAGTCTTAAAATAGAAAATGACATACATAATCATGGCTAAAATTAATATTCCTTAATCAGCATTTTCAAATAGTAACTTCTAAAAATAAATTGACAACTAATCACCTCAAGACAATACAACATTTCTTTATACATAATTTAAAAGCATTGTAAGGGAGGTAATCCAAACATGACATTGTACTTTTTTTTAATTGTCAATTAACCAGTAAACCCTTGTTTTTCCCCCTTTGAGCCATAACCCCCAAAGCCAATCCTAATCATCCCTTTGTGGTATGGAAACTTGTGGTATAATTTCAGAGAGATCCATACACCATTCCACAAGTTATTTTTTTTGAAACTAGAAAAAAGCTTATTTGGGCCCCTTTTTTGCCCCTAATTCCTAAACTGTTAGGACTATAACCTCCAAAATCAATCCCAACCTTCCTTTTGTGGTTATAAACCTTGTGTTTTCATAGATTTCTATTTACATTTACTAAAAGTTATTGTCCAGCAACCAAATGTCTTCGGACGACTACAACGTGATACCAATATACAACCGCAAAATTTTTTGCGGTGGTATAAAAATCAATGGAAATACTAAGTTCCTTTATTTGATTGTTTAGATTTTGACAAGACGCAATTTTGTGAAAAGATTTTAAACTGGTACTTCAACTAATGTCCTTTTAACCTTTGAATGCATTCAAAAATAGTAAATCAGTAAACCGGAAGTAAACTTGTTTTTCTTAGTATAAGCCTCCTTTAATTAGGAGCACCTCCATATGGAATTTTACCTTAACTTAAAAATTTTAAGAAAAACATTTATCCAACATATGTACAGCAAATATGAAAATAAACGATAAATGCGTCATGGATGGCATATTTACAGGGACCTTTTTAATACAAAAACAGGAGGGGAAATTTAATAAAATGCTCCGCTGGGGCGCAGCTTGATACGACCGCAGAGGTCGAACCCTGAACAGTTGGGGCAAGTATGGACACAACATTCAAGCTTGATACAGCACTGAATTTGGATTGTAATTAAATATTTGACACAGCATAGGTTTCTGACACAGAATGAAAGTGGTCTAAGAACTTAAAAATTTTCAATTTACCTATTCATACATGTGATGGACTGTGAAACTCAGATCAGGAGATTGGGAAATTTTGGTCAGGAGATTAGGACTCAGATCAGGAGGTTTTTAATCGACATTAATTTTGTTGTAAATGTAACCGTGTGCTGTAAAAATGGTCTTTTAAAGTGTGTTTTCTTTAACTTTCCATCCAATTTATTATGTTTATAGTACCCTTGTACTTATAAAGTTTCTCCATCTTTATATTCTACATGTTCAATCTAACATTGTATTTTTCCAGTATGTTCTTTAAATTTTTTACTTCATATTCTATAAAACAATCATTGCAACCAGAACATTTGTTTAGCTATCTGCAAATAGTTTTTATTTTTTTTTTTCTCTTGCAAATAGTTTTTATTTGCAAACTCAGAAAATCATTTTATCTGTAAAATTAGGGTCATAGTTATTATATAAATTTCAATTTAAGCCTTGAAAGGAAGTCTAGAATCCTCAAATAATTTTCAAATTATCATTTTTTTATTTGTCCTAAGACATTTAAAATCATTTAATAACCATCCTTTTATGATTATTTGTTCAATTTATATTTTATTTATATTCTTTTAAAAATTGTCATTATTAAAAGGAAAGTAACTCAAAACAGGATAAATCAAGGGAAGTAACCCAATAAATACACAGTTTTTGTTACACAACGGCAGTTAGCCTGAGGTAAAAATCGTTGATTACCTGTATGTTTAACACCCAAGCTGACAAGTGAAGCCATATAATTATGCATGTTAATTGATTTACAGGTAAAATATAACTTCAGGTAATGTCAGTTACACCAGATGCCTGAGATGATATGTTGGGCAGAAATTTTTCATTCATGAAAAATTTCATACACGGGATTTTTTCCTCTTCAACGGGAGGTCGGGAGGAGACCCCTGAAAACGGGATTATTGTACTCCCATCGGGAGGTTCACATGTATGCCTATTCAAACCATATCATTATTATTTGCTTTTATATATAAATCAGAAATAACCAATTTAAAATGGAAAATGTTAAAGAAAAAAAAGGAAAAAAAAATCCCCCCCCAATTTTTTGAACCCCCTTATGATTCATCACCCCCAAACTCAATCCCAGCTTTCCCTTTGTGGTATGGTACCTTGCAGTACAATTTCAGAGAGATTCATACACTTGAACACAAGTTATTGTCTGGAAACTAGAAAAATGCTTGTTTTTTGGCCCCTTTTTGGCCCCAAATTCCTAAACGTTTAGGGCAATTACCCCCAAACTCAATTCCAGCTTTCCCTTTGTGATATGGAAACTTGCAGTACAATTTCATAAAGATCCATACACTTACACACAAGTTATTGTCCTGAAACTAGAAAAATGCATGTTTTTTTTGCCCTTTTATGGCCCCTAATTACTAAAATTTTGAGGGAAAACCCCCAAAATCAATCCCAGCCTTCCCTTTGTGATATGGAACCTTGTAGTACAATTTCATAAAGATCCATACACTTACAAACAAGTTATTGTCATGAAACTAGAAAAATGCTTGTTTTTTGCCCCTTTTTGGCCCCTAATTCCTAAAATTTGGAGGAAATTACCCCAAAAATCAATCCCAGTATTCCTTTTGTGATATGGAACCTTGTAGTACAATTTCATAAAGATCCATACACTTACAAACAAGATATTGTCATGGTCGTATAAAAATGCTTGTTTTTTGCCCCTTTTTGGCCCCCAATTCCTAAAATTTGGAGGCAATTACCCCCAAAATCAATCCCAGCATTCCCTTTGTGATATGGAACCTTGTGGTACAATGTCAGAGAGATCCATACACTTACACACAAGTTATGTCTGGAAGTTACAAAAATGCTTATTTTTGGCCCCTTTTGGCCCCTAATTCCTTAACTGTTAGTACCATAACCCCCAAAATCAATCCCCACCTTCCTTTTGTGGTATTGAACCTTATGGTAAAATTTCATTGAGATCCATTTACTTAAACTAAAGTTAGAGTGCGAAAACTAATGTGTATTCGGACGACGACGCCGGACGACGACGACGACGCCAACGTCATACCAATATACGACCACAAAAATTTTTTTGCGGTCGTATAAAAACTTGAAATATTTTAAAGCATTGCACTTTTATCATGTTTATTGATTGCTATCTTGAGCTCTGATTCCATCAACAACTGTCAGTCCATACTTTTTTATCATTGCAATATAACCATTCATTGCCTTTTCTTTAATTCTTAGCATAATCTATGTGCTCTTTTGTTAATCTTTTGCGTTCTCTAGGTGCCCTTTTTTCTTGAAGTTACCATGCCCTTATTGTGTGAAACAGGAAACACTATGAACATGCAGAAAATTCACAGTTGGTCTTTTGAGGAGGAAGACATTCTTAACAGACTTATAATCATACAATTATAAATCATATACCTGCACACAATCTTTTATATTTGCCCTTGAGCATGTTGGGCAATAAGAGTCCAATATTTTGCGAAAATTTAAACTATTCTACATTGTATTTCTAGAATAAGACATACATGTACATGATCATTTGGTTAATATACTTGTCAAATTTTAACAAAAAAATACATTTTTTTAAATCTTATTAAAAACACTTGTAAATTGGTTTGATAAATTGGTTGTTCTTTGCATAAAGCTTTAAAATGGCAAATACATTCATGCAAATCCAGGTCAAGAACAAATTAACAAGTCTAATAGATTGATTCAAAGACTGCAGAGTTCCCGAAATCTTTTCTTTCCCTAGTGGTCCTCGAGGAAAATCTGCTGGCCCTCACTATTCTTTCTATTGCAAAATACCAAAATTGTGTCTGTCCTTTGAAAAATTTAAGTGGTTAAAACCTTCAGACCACCTATTTTCGAGAACTCCGCTGAAAATGAGTTGACCAAACTGAGGCCAAAACAAAATATATGTCTGTTTAAGGTTACATACTTTTAAAAAATAGGGTAGGTATGTAGGTATTTCCATTTTATTCTATTTTTTAATTTTATTTTTTGTGACATGATTTTGAGTCATGCGGTTTCGTCTTGTCCTGGTCCGAGTTGATCATGGGCCGAGTTTACCTGTATTTTTAATGATTGGATTATTTCCCTTGGTAATTGGTTGGAAAAAAATGGCGGCAAAGTGTTTATTTCTTCACACGAGTTGCAAATTTCCTTAAAACAGCTGTCATATTCACGATTGTGAACATTGGGATGTATCAGGCAATTGATTTATATTATTTGCAACACTAACTTTGCTTTTGACACGAGTTCAGTTTATTTTTCACTTTACGATGGAAATAAAATAACTTAGGGTCTGCGCTCAAAAATAGGGTCAGTCGGGTAACCTTAAACAGACATATATTTTTTTTTGGCCTGAATGGCAGGATATCTGGATATTACTGGAAAAAGAAGATACATGTATGTTGGTTAGGTGTAAAAATATAGCTTTGAAACAGACCACCTACATACAGTACATTGTACATACCCTTTGAATTGTTAATAAAAGGGTTTCATTTGCTTGCAGGGAAAAAGCACAAATTGGATTTTTTTTGGTAAATTTTTTCATGCACTTGCATCATCATTTTGATGGCAAACATGTATATACCCGATACTTTTACACCATGCTTACAAGTTTAACTTATATACATGACCATGATGTATTTAAGATTCCTGTAGCATGTTAGGATTTTATTTGTACAGGATGTGCAGTGTGACAACTTTCCACCCAAGGCTTCAATAAAAATCATGTAACTTGTCATTAAAACTACCCTGGATCACCCACGACTAATGTAGGAACATAAGGAAGGATTAAAAACCATCTCATTTTACAGCAAACATTTCTTTTATCAAATTTAATTGTGGTAAACAATAGGAATTATGAACTTTTGCAAGCTAAGTTTTCATGAAAAGTTGTCACGAGGAACTTTAATAAGGTCTAGATGCTATTCAGATTTTGAACTTGAGATAATTAAACCAAGAGCATCTATAATAACGATTATGAAGATGGTTAACTACAATGTTCTATAAAATGGTGTTCATAAATATCAAATTGTAGATCCTGAGAAAATTGCAAAAAAATTTCATGGGGCATATGAATGACACTTACCAGTATACTCCCTCCTTCTATATATATATTAAACTTTATAATGTTTACTGAAAGCTCTAGATCTGTCTCCACATATACAATGAACATGTATATTGTACAACTTACCTATAAACTCCATAATGTTTACTGAAAGCTCTTGTCTACACATATACAACTTACCTATAAATTGCATAATGTTTACCAGAAGCTCTGTCTCCACATGTACATTGTACAACTTACCTATAAAGTCCATTATGTTTTCCAGAAGCTCTGTCTCAACATATACAACTTACCTATAATCCGGATAATGTTTTACAGAAGTTCTGTCCTCACATAATTACATTGTACAACTTACTTAAACCCCATAATGTTTACCAGAAGCTGTCTCCACATAATTACATTGTACAACTTACCTAAACCCCATAATGTTTACCAGAAGCTGTCTCCACATAATTACATTGTACAACTTACCTATAAACTCCATAATGTTTTCCAGAAGCTCTGTCTCCACATATAGCACATATATGTTTAGTAGAAAAAGCATTGGTTGGAGATCCAATGGATCCAGGTGAGCCTACAGACATCATAGACGATGGAGAAGTAACTGACGATGATGGTGACAATAAACCTGGTGACTGCATGGGAGCAGATCCTGGTGATGGCTGAGTGGAAGGCATTGGCATCTGTAAACCTGGAGGAAATCCAGTAAAGAAGTTGTGACCAGGCATCTGTAGTTGTCCAATATCTGGTTTTATATCAGGAGGAGAATCTAACCCACCCATTGAGTTCATGGACCCCATCTGGGAAGGCATGCCCCCTGATGACATTCCAACAGAACTCCCAACACTGCTGTCAAGTGAATCTATAAAGAAAATAAAATGCTGAAGTTATTGATTGTCTGATCTCATAAAATGATTTTATTTTTATTGCCAATTAAATACATTTAACTAAGGGGATCTACCCAAATGTCTGTTAATGTGTATTTTTCACTTCTGAGATCATTTTCTTGTCGGCGGTGCCATTCATGCATCTGTAGTTATTTTCATAAGAATATGGATTTCCGTCATAGTTGTTTCACGTCCTATCTGTTGTTTGTATAAATATTTCATTTGCGGACAAAGAAAAAACTACAAAAAATAAACAAAGTTTGTCAAGCAATTTCCAAAGGAATAAAATATTTTTAATTGAATTAATGTTTGAAAAATTAATTACAGGCGACAGGCAATTTTCATCACATTCTAATGAAGTAACAAATTTATATTTAAGAAAATCAGAATATGTTGATGTACGCTCAAAAGTAACAAGTATTGGATCCCAGAAGTGAAAGAAAATACTTCATGAAAAGTTGTTTCTTTGAAATAACATTCAACGAATCTCTAAAGTCAATGATTTCACCATGTTTCTAAAGAAAGAAATTATTTATGTCTTTGATTATTGGATGTTTGACATTGTTATTGTCATTAGCTGATATTTTAGTTACAATTTGTATGACTGCATAAGTAAAATGCAAACCCGAAACAGACTGGAAGTAGCTATATATATATTGAAATGCTTTAATTCAGGAAAAGATACAACAAATGGTTTAACAAAATCCCAATCGACTGTCCACATCACTTAGACTGACCTACTGATTTCTGACTTATTCCAATCATAGGACTAAGGAACATTAATAACTGTTACATTAGCTGAATCCTATCATCAACAACATTATCTATTCGCTATTTATTTAAACAAAGAGATTGGTACTCATTTTAAGCACGATGAACGTGCTCCTTGTAAATATTTTTACCATAAATAGACTTTTGATTTGATTAATTGCTTGCAATAAAGGTAAAATCCAAGAGAGAATCGAAATAAATGATGATTGATATAATTGATCACTTGATTGTCTTACACCATGTACACTAATGCAATAAAACACGATTAAATCAAATTTTGTTTTACATTTTTTAGACACATGTTAAAGTTTGACCAGCAACTAAGTTGTCAAAAGAAGCCAATTAATTATCAAAGATTGGAAACACACATATTAAAATTGATAATTACCTTATGTTATGCACTGGTTATATATTGTAAACAACTGCAGATTAATTAGGGGATAAGGTCAACGTCTAATTCAATATATTAGGAACATTGATACTGATAGAGAAAATGTTGAAAACAAAGTCAAACTTGAAATAAAATAGGAAAATATAAAGTTAAAAAAACAAACTGCAAGTGATTTAATCTACACAAAACTTAATTACTTATACATTTTCATTGTTTGCATTTTGATTGGTTTATCATGTATATAAAAAAAAATACATTCCAATTGTTAGGTAGTTTGAAGTAATATTAAGGGACCTGAAGCGGCAGAAGAGTGATAAATATACAATTGAAAACAAAGTGTTTACAATTTAAAGCTGTGACAGAATAGTTTTGCTAACACATCTCTGAAATAAACAAGTACAATGTACAACAACTTAGCCATAAAATTACTTTTTTTCTGTCACACAAAAATCTTATTGGTCAGACATACATGTATATGACACGACTATCGACTGAATGTCACAGAAACTCTTGACAGTTTGGCATAGACTGAAACATACATCTACAAATGTACCGATGAGGAATTAAAAACAATTATTTAGGCAGTTTAAGTATCTTCTTTAATCTGGCATCAACGGCAATAAGTGATAGGCCAAAAGCAGTCGTTTAATAATAATTGTTACCATGGTATGGTGTGTTGGCACCTCTTTGAACAATTGAAACATTTACTGCTTCTGGAATATAATTTTATCTTATTGATGATTATAAATTGACATTAAAATAATTTTTTCTTTCAGTATTTTAAATTTTTATGCAAGCAACAACCTTGCTAAGTTTAGAAAGGCAGACCTTAAAACTATTTCAACATTTATAAGGCATATTTTAAAATATAATTCAACTGTTTTTTGCTTCAAAAACATTTTCATGATTTGGGCAATTAAAGTAAAACATATTATAATTAATAAATATGATTCATATATTATATAACAAAATGAAGAAAACAACTCACTTATCAAGGAAAAGTACCCTGAAATTTACACGTTATGAAATCAGAGGGAAATGACCCATAAAAGACTTTTACTAAATAGAATTTAGGTAATTGTACTACAACTGTTTTTATAACCAAGTCACAACTCCTTCAGTCAAAAAGTTGACCCCAGAAGATTTTAGTTAATAAATTCATGAAGGAATGATCCAAGGGGTGTATTCTTAAGCACCAGTAAGAATGTTTTATAATTACATATTCAATGCACATTGTATTTATGAAATTCTTATGTACAATTCCTTGAGTCCACTTTATTTTCTTTCCATTCTACAGCATGTTGACAATTACATATTTATAGTCAAATTAAGACATAAGTAATGAGACTTAAGTTATAAATGAAATTATCCGATCTATTATTATATCTATTATAATAGTGATAATTATTGTGTTCAATAATAAAGTTGTCCAATAAAGACTATTTTTCCTGTTAAAAAAAACTCCATTCTTTGTCGACAAGTAACTTTCTTACCTGCACTTCTTAATTACTATAAAAACCTCCCAATTTATTACAAAATCATGAAAGTACATGTAACTCCTCCGAAATGAACCCAATTTTCAGTACGTTCAACCTAACAAGATGGCGACCAATACACAACATGTTGAATTCAGTACGCATTCCATTGATTAACATACACTAAATAATCGAAATATGCATTAGTAGGGGACGATGAAAAATCATCTTTAGTCCTTACCCATCTCCGAATGGTCCATACTGGCTGTTTCACCATAAATGGTGCCAACGAGGTGATTTGTAAACACAGGGTTAGTTGCCCTACTTACAAAATTTTCACCTTTACGTAGATTTACCCACAATTCCTTGCGCAGAAATTTTTCTTCTTGTAGATTTTGAGCTGTACAAAGATGATTACAAACATTTAATATGTTTTTATTCTTTTCATTTATCTGACTTTTAAGAGAATGATATTTACTATTTCAGTACATATTTTTGTTTATTTCATTGAACAAGGATTGAGGTCAACAATTAAAAGGTCAAAAGTTCACAGACTTCAGATCAAGGACCGAGCGGCTAGTATTGTCTGACGTAGGGAATTATGACGTAACATGTCAATAAATAGATATTATTAATAGGCGACAAATTAACGGTCTGCATAATAAGACCAAACAATGTATTTGATAGAAAATTCATAAAGATAAACTAATGACTCAGTAATGAGTCAAAAAAAAAAGTAAAATCACAAAAATACTGAACTCCGAGGAAAATTCAAAACGGAAAGTCCCTAATCAAATGGCAAAATCAAATGATAAAACACATCAAAAGAATGGACAACAACTGCCATATTCCCATAGGCGGATCCAGGGGGGGGGGGGGGGGGGGGGGGGGGGGGGGGGCGGGCATGCTGAAAAGTTCTGGATCCGCCACTGTTAATTCCTGACTTGGTACAGGCATTTTCAAATGAAAAACATGGTGATCAAGTGAAGATCACAGATACCCACGCACACGGTGCAAAAATACTCTGACAGTAAATGGCAAAACAAAGATCAAATTGAGAATGACATTTATAATGTGTAACTGTTAAAATATAAAAATGAGTCACCTGAAAGAGGCAATGCTGCAAAGAACTTCGAAGCATTGAGTTAATTGATGTTTTTTTTTCTCGTTGTTTTTTTGTTTTTTTGTTTTTTTTGGGGGGGGGGGGGAGGCTATGGGAAGCTTGACGAGAGAAATGGGAAGCGTGAAAATTTCAAGATATTTTGTTTTTGTTTTTTCCCTTCTGTTTGTTGTTGTTGTTTTATTGTTATATCATGAATCAGTTTGTCATGTTTTATATAAATCTTTGGTTTTGGCAAGCAAGAATATTCCCGAGAAGTTCTGGTCATTTCGTCGTGCCAGATCACACTTATAACGTGACTTTCAAGTCCAATGTACAAACTGTTTAGTGCATTTAGTTTAGAAATAATATGAAATGGTGAAATTTATTGAATTTGTTTTAATTAGATAATGTATCACTTGTTTGCCAACTGATCGGGGTGATAAGACAATATGAAGTTCTAACAAAATAAATTAGTTTGACACTTACACGCGCTATATTAGTTGATTTATCTGGTGCCGGAAAACAAATCTCTGACATCGGCAGCAAATATTTTGGAAAGACATATGTCATCATACCAGATTGAGTAAGAATAACAATCAAATACACGCAAGGGACTCATTCGACATATCCTAGTATAATAATATAAGATACTTTTGTTCTACTTAAGGGGTCCATGAAAAGCAAACTAATATATGATTTACATGATTAATCTAAAACACTAAATTGATTGATTGATTGATTGGTGTTAAACACCACTTTCAGCACTATTGTGCTATTTCGTGGTGGTCAGTTTTTATTGGTGGAGGAAGCCGGAGAGCCCGGAGAGAACAACCGACCTTCGGTAAAAAAACTGACAATACTAGTCAATTAAGATTGTAGTCGAGCGCACCTAACACGTGCGGGATTCGAACCCACAACCTCAGTGTTGACAGTTTAGTGACACAGTAATTCGACTACGTAGACCACTCAGCCACCGAGGCCCCATCCGTTTTGAATAATACGATGGTATGGTCCAATAACTATTATATTGAAGTTACTTGGAATTAATTGTAAAAAATTCTAGACATGTTTGTACATATTTTTCACTCTCTCTGTACCTATGTATCTGGAATGGTTATGAGAATAAAGATATATATATATATTATGGATCGTTTAACAATTTTGAGAAGCATATCCAAACCAAGCTATCAACATTGATCATCATTTTTTTTTTTTTTTGGAAAAACAGATGGATAA